TGGATTTCCTGGACGTGCCAATCGAGAAGCAGACATGTGTGGTGATGTTCTAGGCAGAAAGAAGGGCACAATATGCTTGTGGCAGACCTCTAATTATGATATGTCACAGTGTAATTTACGGCCATAGGCAATCCACGTCATCCCTGCAACCACTTCCTCTAGTTTCTGAAGTTGAAGGGATGATGTGAACCAATTAGAGGGCTCATCGGTGTTTAAACAAAGTTTTAACTTGATAACCCAGAGCTTCCCATTCCAGTCCTCAAGGTTCCCCCACCAGTCCAGGATTTAGGGATTACCTAGTTGTGTCTAAGGTGTTTTTAGAAACTATTACTGTTTTTTGCTATTTTTTCTATATACGTTAAGCCCTGCTACTCTAAGGTCAGATAATACGTTTATTCCTAATCTCTGACCTAAGATTTGTAAGTTGGGTATTGTGTTCATGACCACTTAAAAATAATCGGAATTCAGTTTCACTTGGTTTCTGCTAGAAGTTCCAAGAAAGCATAACCCAGCTGTAATATCAAACATAACAATAATTAATGTTTCTGTGTGTAGGCGTCTTTCTCTTCCTTTTTTTTTATTTGTTTGCATGTGTTAAAGGGAAACTATAGTCACCAAAACAACTTCAGTTCAATGAAGCAGTTTTGGTGTATAGATTATGCCCCTGCAGTCTTACTGCTCAATTCTCTGTCATTTATGAGTTAAATCACTTTGTTTATACAGCCCTAGTCACACCTCTCTGCATGTGACTTACATAGTCTTCCTAAACACTTCCTGTAAAGAGTCATCTAATGTTTATACTTCCTTTATTGCAAATTCTGTCTAATTCAGAATTTCTTATCTCCTGCTCTGTTAATGGCTTGCTAGACCCTGCAGGAGCTCCTGCATGTAATTAAAGTTCAATTTACAGAGTGAAAGATAAAAGCTTTTAATGTAAGTTAAATCTGATTGAAAATGAAACCATTTTGGTTTCATGAAGGCTGTGTTGGTCCCAGCCATGGGAGGTGTGGCAAATGCTGTATAAACAGAAACAAAAGTGATTTAACTCCTAAATGGCAGAAAACGCAAACTGCTTCATTAAGCTAACGTTGTTTTGGTGTCTATAGTGTCCCTCTAAAGAAAGAATTGACACGTCCTTTAAGCCCTTAAGGACACGTGACATGTGTGACATGTCATGATTCCCTTATATTCTAGAAGTTTGGTCCTTAAGGGGTTAAGTTACATGTATGTTTAAACTTCTTACAAATTACTATTTTAGACAAATTTAATATTAAGACGCAGCAAAAATTTAAGTATGAACACATCAACAAAACTTTTCCCATAAGTTTCTATTTAATCAAAGCAATGGTATGTATGTTTTTTTTTTGTTTGTTAGTTTTTTTAATAATTCACTATTTCATTAGGTAAGCCTCAGGGTAAATTATCTCTCACACTCGTCTGGTGCCTAAATGTGTTTTTATCATTTGTTACTTACCATCATGTATCTGACATCATTATCCAATTTGAGTATTTTGAAATGTTCAGATTTTTTTGTTTTAAATTGTTTTGTAACTGGCAAAGGACTCAGAAAAGATCTTTAAAGATGTGAGGGTTAGCTATGCGTTCTTAAAAATGGACTATTACCCTGGTAGGTACGTGTATGTGCACATATGTAGCCCTTCTTGGCTGAGAGTCTAACCAAGGTGTCTAGGTCGTATGGCGTAATACACAATCACACACACACACACTTTTAAAGAATTGGCGGGGGCGGATCAAACACAGGTAGGTATGCTATGTTAGCCGCAGTTTAAAGGAAATCTGTCATCATATTTATTATTGTAGAAAATAAAAAATTATATACAATAAGGAATTCCTGTATATTATTATTTTTTATTTTTTTTAAATTCTTTATTTTTTATTGTGCATGGAGTAACGATAATCTTACAATGCCACAACAGCATGAATAAGTAACTCAATAGCATTGTATTGCACAGGTATGGCACTGGGGTAAAGGCACATTTTAGTATATTGGTTGGAAAAGCTAGTATGGTCCGCTATGCCAGTGGAACTTCATCTGCAAATACAGGGTTAAACATGCTATTTCAGCTGGCATTCCGCGTATAGAACATTATGATAATGATCAATGAACTTCAACGAATGGTCTAGGTCTTGACCCAAATAGACCGTGTGTGATTTGGGGTGTGAAAGCCAAGGTGTGAGAGTAAAGGGTAGAATGCTGTTGGTCTGGGGTGTGGCGGGGTGATAACCCCAACATGTGTGTACCTCACTTTTGCCAGCCGGTGCTAGAGGTAAGATGTTGTGTATGGACAGTCCTGTCTAGGTGTCTGGTCAAGTTCGTGTGGCCGTGTGCACGACTGTATCGCCCAATAGTGCTGGTGCCTTGTGGTGTCGCCATAGCGTCTCGGTTTGTTATGTCGCGTCTGTACCGTAGTCTGGGGCCGTCCACTAGGGCCTTGGGTCTGGTGAGTAATAGCATAATAAAATAGAGTAAGTTAGACTACTGTCTTTGGGTCTGGGGCACATCTATGGCTATGATGGTAGGTAGCGTTCCAGGTCATCCTGGAGTGGTTTAGCTACCTTTGTCATAGGTTGCTACTGCAGTACCCCAACTTAGTGATGCTTAGGTATACCCTGTTACCAGGGTGGGGGCAGGGGGATGCTATACTGTGTACGAGGGCATTTGGAGGGGCTGTTGAACATGAGGTATGGTTGTGCATTGGATGGCTAGGTATAATGAGGGTTGCCTTGAGTAGGGGGGTCCGGAAAGTTCCTAAAACATACGTGAGTTTAAAAGAGTTCAACAGGTTGGAGATTAACTACTTTTGCAGGGTCTCCGATGTTGGATGGTACTAGCGTAGTGGTGTTCTCCGCGATGGGCATAGAGTCCATGTGAAGGCCTTTGGTGGGCAGTAGTTCCGTAGCCCCCTGCATATCCCGAATGATGGATGCAGAGTTCCCGTGGTGGACCATGAGCGCTCGGGACCCCTTCCAGTTATATTGGACCTTGTGCTGGCGTAAAATTGTCGTGAAGGGCTGGAGCGAGCATCGCCATGCCAATGTGGAACCCGACAGGTCCGCATAGAAGGAGAGCAGCATTTCTTCAAACTGGGACGGTGAGTGATTTCGCGTGGCTTGTATTACCGCTGCTTTGTCTCCCTGATTTTGCAAGCAGACCAGGAGATCTCTCTGAGATGTTGTTGGGGCCTTGGCTGCTCTTGGTAGTCGGAACATCTTCTCTATGGTCACTTGTCTGGCCTGCTTGGGGGTAAGAGGGCCTGCAGGAGTCGCTGATCCTCCAGCACCACGAAGCGTTGCTCATAGGTGAGGTGCCGCTGTTTCAATACTTGTACTGCTTGTTGCAATCTTTGTGTTTGTTGTGCATTCTTGCGGGAGTCAGTCTCTAGGGTACCAAGGCGGCCCATCAGGCCCTGCAGGTCCTGCCGAAGTTGGGCCATATCGGCTTGTATAGTGTGTTGGAGCCCCGCCAGGAGTTCTTTCATGACCGTAGTGGTCACCGGAGATGAATCTGGTCGTGGGAAGTTTGGAGGGGTGCTGACACGGCTGTTGAGTTCTCAGCCTCCACCCCTGTTGTGAAGTCATCTGAGATATCGGAGCATCCGTCGCTGTAGGTAGCCATATTCGGGCCCTGGGTGCTGAGCGCCTGTCTCCATAGGTCGCCTATATTTAGAGTTTGCCGCGGTTTGTCGGGCTAGGGCTTTTTGGTTTTTCGGCCCATATCGTTGGCTGCGGTCTGGGGATCAGTTTGGTGTCGGTTTTTCCGAGTTTGGGCTGTGATTGTTGGCCCAGAGTTCTTGTTTTTTGCAGAGCTCGTGCTGCATGCGGCCATTCAGGTCAGTTGCTTGGCTCCGCCCCCCTGTGTATTATTATTAATACATATAAGATATCACTTTTAATGTATCTCTTGATTTACACTTGTTCCATGATGGTGGCCATCTTTGAGCCCTCTTTGATCAAAAGTTTCCCTTATCTGCTATGGCCATGAATGATTTAAATGTCTAAAACCCTTTCCAGGGACCCTTTTTAAATTACCTGGTGCTTGTGCTAGATATGAAGATTCCTAATCGCACACATGCTCTTGATTACCTGCATCATTTTTGGTCGGATAACCGGTGCTTTCAATGAAAGAGGAATTAAAGATGGCTGCCCCCAAAGAGCAGTATTAAGACAGGAAATGTCCTGGAAAGATGTTATGTACATACTGTTTATAATCTTTTAATTTAAATAATGATAAAATGATAAGCATTTCCTTTAAAGTGACTTTATAGGCACCAAGACTATTTCATCTCAATGTAGTGGTCCAGGTGCAGTGCCCCAAGTGTTGTAGTTAGTCCAACAATGTAAAACATTGCTGTTTTGCAGATATGACAATGTTTTCACTGCAGGACGAAACACACCTCTAGTGGCACCTCTTCCTGGTACCCACTAGAGAGTGTTTCTGCTGCAATACTGAGTCAGACTGGTTTATCAATCAATACTTCTCATAGAGAGCATTTGATTGGTGAGAAGACGAAGAGGAGTCATCGTGATGTTGCGGGAGGCAGATCGGACGGCTGCAGGGACCGGGGAAAAATAGTGAGTAAATGTATTTTTTTAATTGCTTTTAGCGGGGGCCCAGAAATCTAAGCAGTGAGTAGTATGTTTGTATTGCTAAGGCTGTAGTGATCCTTTAACTCACACAAATCATTTCAGCTGAAACATCTAATAAAGGTGATAGCCTGGAAGATTCTGGCTATGGTGGTGCACATACATTGGTCAGCCCCAGCCAATGATTCCTAACCTCACAATTAGTTTTAATAATTTTTAATTTTATGTTTATATAATCTCCAATTTTTATATTTCTTTATAAGTTAGAAGTGCACAAGCAACTTTCACAATGCACTCAACTACTTTCACTCATCCAATCAGATTGCAGTACTACAACCACTGATACAACTTACAATTGGTTTCGAGTCCAACCTAAATAAACAGTCGACAATTACTTATTAATAATTATCTTTTTATTTCTTTTTTTTTTTAATAATTTTTTTTTAATTATTCAGTGCTCTCAGCTCCTTGGATTTCAAACCAGCTTATAAAAAATGCACATTATTGTTTTTTTCATTTTATATTTTTTTAAACAATGTTTCAATCCCATTTTTTTTTTCGTTCATTAAATAAATTAACACCTTATCCTCAAGACCGATTAAACCCTTTTTCCTCTGTAGAGGAGGGCTTAAAAAAAAAATAAGAAACCTTGTTTGCTTAGGCTCAGAACAAACATAAATTAAGCACATATTTATACCCACACAAATAAAGAATAAATACTTCGAAATAAGTTAAAAACAACAATTCAAAAGATCTCGCCAGGTTTTCATAATATTTTTTTTCTTCATTTTTTGTGTGTGTTTTTTTAAACCTCTGTCGATTCCTTTTTTTTTTTTTTTTTTTTATAATTTGCAAGAGATCCTACAACTTTCTACTAAACACAGTCAGAGTAACCACACATAAACTGGAACACAAAGCTCTAACTAAAATTATAAGGTAGGAGAAAGATTTTGCTCTCTCCCCTCCCCCAACTACTTTATTATTATTTTTTTTTTTTTTAAAGAAACACAAAAAAAATCTATAAATAATATTAAAGAAAACACACGTTCAAAAAGAGTTATTTGGGGGGAGGGAACCGAAAATAAACGAGAAAACGATTTATAGAACAGACGCAAACTTAATTAATAAACAACCTAATTTTTTTTTCTATTTTCTGCTATACGATAAATGAACGCAAAGCTAATCATATTAAATGTTATGAATATTTGCTTTTTGAATTAAGGCTGCAGTCCCACTTTTCCGCGTTTAGTCCTTTCCTGCTGTTTGAAACAAATTATATGGTTTAGGTGAGCCGGCTCAAGGCTTTCTGCTAATGTAATTTAAAATACCAGCTGGATTTATTTTATATAAATACCCAAAAATGTTTACGGAATGTTCCCTCAAAAAATAGGCAGAATCACAATTCCAGAATCCTTTAAGTGACAGTTCATGACATCACCCTTTAAACAGCCAATAAGTGCACATTTTCTGTCACTGTACTACTCCCAGAATCCTTTAGTCAAAGTCCTTAAACATGTCCAGGAATCCGCCAATCAGAGTCCAGATTTCATATTCAGAAAATCCTTTGAGCAAAATTACATGGCTATGAGATACCTTATTTATATGCCTGAAAACGACATAATTACTTCCCTGTGCCTGGAGCTGGCCTGAATCTTTTTGTAAAATTATCATTTTTATTTCCGATATATACATTGTCTATTAATTAGTTTTTTTTTGTACATTTCAGGGTTTCAAAATTACATTTTTTATTTTAAAGATTTACGAAACAAGCCCCTCAAAAATATATATATATTTATATATATTTCAAATGGAAGAATCGATTGTGAATTCTCGTGAAGGAAAAGGTTTTTTTTATTACTAGTAATTTTTTTTCCCCCTGGATAAGTGGGGCTGAAGCTATAATTGCTATCTATGACCCATTAATTACCCCAGACATGGTATAATATTCAGTAATAATCTTAATAAACGAAACGCAAGTCTCTGGATTCAACTCAAGTTTAAAATGAGTAAGAATTTCATTGGTTTTCCTAAACTACGCATTTTGTAAACAAATAAATGAAGAGGAAATAGGAAATTCTAGAATGTTTCCTAATGGATTGTAAGCAGTCCCTTCTGGAAACCAGTCACAGGTGTTTTTTTTTTTAATCATTTTAAATCAAATCAGAATGTTTATATTTTGGGACCTGAATTTATGATTTTGTCTAAAATGGAGTTTATATGTATATATGCGTATTTATACATATACACTTAATGGGTCATTGTCTTTTGGGACAAGTGTGAAAGCTTAAACTGCTCACGGGATTTTTTTTCCTTTTTTATAAAAATAGATATTTTTTTTCTCTCTTTCATTTCTGCGCCCGTCTCATTTCTTCGTTTATTATCTTCTTTTAAGAGTAGTGATGGGGTACAAAGGTGGAGAGTGAGGGAATAGGAGTTAAATGTTAGAAGAGTGAGGAGGTTGAAGTTTCGAGATCTCAATCCCTACAGAAACCTAACCTGTTCACTGCTACTAAGAGAGAGCAGGACCACTTTAACGGAGCTATCGTGCCATACCTATGTAACGTACATAGAGGTACCAAGCTCTGTACCCCATGTGCCAGCCATAGAGGTGCCAGGCACTGTGCATTCAGTCTAAACATTCCGGGGTCTATTGCTGCTATCATTTATGCCATCTCTCAAGGTGACAGGCACTGAACGCTCTATACCAGCCCTGTTATTATCTACTACCTGTCTAAGTATTGAAAATTGTCGCCCATTCATAAAATCCTGGCTCTGCATTCAAGTTGCCAACTTAGAAAGGATTCATGGTCTTTCATGTAAAATATCTTGGATTTAAGACTTTAAAGTGCCAGACCATCAACTCACTGTGCATCCAATGGAAGTGCAAAACTACCATCAAATAGGATATTTACTAATACAGTATCACAGTTAGGAGGTCTATGCTAGACTCTGTGTTCAAACCTAGTACTAAACTCATGTTGTTACTCCTTTCTCTGTGTCCAGTCCTTTCTACCTCTATTTGTAAACCTCCTCCCAACCTCTCCATCAGCCATATCTTTATTCTCTCCCCTGCCTATTTTATCCCTCTCTCTCCAACTCTCCCACCCTAACTCTTACTCCCACTGCTTCTTCATGCTTTGTGTTGTTTACTGGTTTTGAATGACACTTGCAGGACCCGATCTCCCAGCCTGTATCCATTGAGGCTTGCAATTGCCATGGCGGCTTCGTCGTAGTTAGTCATGGTGACGAATCCGAATCCTTTGCACTTGTTAGTGGTGAAGTCCCGGATAACTTTGACGTTTGTCACGGCACCAAATGGTCCAAACAGCTGCCACAGCACACTCTCGTCAGCTTCTGGGGACAGGTTGTAGACAAAGATGCACCAGCCGGCAGTGGTGGGACCCGTCAGACTGACCCCAGCGAGGTTGGTAACACTGTCAATGGTGATAGGAGAGAACCTGGGAAGGAAGGAGAGCGGACTACATTGGGTGTAAGGAAGAGGTCTATGAGAGAGGAAAGCAGGAGAGGAAGATGGGGAGAAGGAATGAGGGAAAGAGATACATTGAGGGACTAGAGGTTTATCAGTGGTGGTAAGGAAACAAGATGCGATGAGAGATGGATGTGTATGCATTGATAACGGAAATAGTGGATGAATTGTACAGAAAACAGGGAGAAGAACTGGAAGGGTGGATGAGGAAAGGGCATTCCGTATGAGGAAGACATTTGTAATTTGGAGAGAAAAATGGACGATGAAAGAATAGTCTACTAGACCAGGTGTAGGTATAAGATATCTCTGTGAGAAGACAGTACATGAGAAGGTGGAAGTTATAGCAGAAGTATAAGGATGAAAGGAAAGGTATGAGGGCACAGTGGAAAATACCAGTAGACAGAACCAATGGTACAACAAGCACAGCAATGGCCATATTCTGTAACCTATGAAGCAGAGAATACTTCTAGATTCATTCTGTATGAGTAATCTACAGTTATAGGTTTTGTTTATTTTGTATTTTTTAATTTGGAATAAATTCAAGCCTTCAAAATTAATACAATCTATAAACAAAATCAGTGGGCATATGCAGAGAATGAAATTGAGATAGGCTTCCTACTTCCCAGTGACCTTATATTTAACTATTTTGCATACAGGGTAAGAGAGAAGAGGAGAAGGAACCCAGACTACACATACTGGTGCTCCTGTTACAACAGATCTCTTTTTATCTACCTCTTTGTGTACCACTGCACTAACTGAGATGTCATGCTTAGTGCCACTGAAGACAATGTGGACCCTTCCATTAGATATGTAGAATATGGTGTGCATGGGGTCAGAAATGCCTTTTAACCTTGTGACCGAAGCTTCTTCCATGCACTAGTCAGTAGTCATCCCATTCTTTTCACACCACTTTGGTGGTGGGGCCTTATTTAGCTTAAGCAAGATGTGGCTTAATGTACTGCAAGCCAGCGGCAGTACACATCAAAAAAGGTCAAGTATGTCCCAGTTTAGCTACCAGTCATGTCTACGGCAACAACTGACCCACCAACTGTAATGAGGATATGAAAACTTGTCATGTTCGTCTCTTCTTTTAGAAGAAATGAAGATGAAAACTAAAATCAGATTGAGAATAAGATCATGTGAAATGAGAATGGGGATCACTGTACTAAAAGTGAGAATTTCTATAATTTTTTTGGCTTTTATCAAACCCACGTTTTGATTTATTTTAATATGTCCGTGACACAGGCAATGCAAAATTAGAATCAAATAGTAAGTAATGTAGAGGGTGTAAGGAGAGGCCAGTATATAATCAATTAATTTTAAATTAATGGGAAACTACCTCAAAACACACAATAAAACAGGCCTGAATAATCTTTAATATGATGTCTTTAATGGGACTATTTTACACAGATCAGATTTCTTGATACATATATCAAATATTAACAAGAGTTACCAAGATTTGTAGAATCCATCTTACTTTTCTAGCACACTTCAAATGAGGCAGTTTTTGATATAACAATATGTTTTGAAGACCACGAGTGGGCATGCCCAAGGGTCATGTTCTGCCAAAAGATTTAATGACGTTAATATTTAAGCAAGTGTTAACTCAGGATGTCCAATATGGCCTAGTTTTCCCCAAAATATAATCCAACGATAGATCAGTACGCAAATGGCTAGTATTTATTAGAGAGGCGCAGGTAGAATTTTAGCACTTGGAATGTAAATGCAGGCCCTGATTGGTATAACTTATTTTATTACATCAGGGGGCTTAATATAGACAGTAAAATTGGTCAGGTGGATGTGCTAATAAGCTCTTATCTTCTTTCTATTAAGACTCTAAGATGAAGAAAAGAGGTGGTCTTTCACATTGAGGGTAAGAAAGAGTTCCTGGTGAAATTTGAAATGGAGAACTAAGGAAATAGAGAAAAAAGAAGAAAAAAGAACCATGTAGTTTTCAAAGAAGACATTTAAGTGATATTGGAGAGAGGGAAGGAAAAAAGGTTGGGGTGATGGGGAGGGAGAGAGAAAGGAGGGAAAAAGCAGAGTAGACGTAGACATTAGAAAGTACTGGAGGAAGGGGAGGCTGGTGTAAAGGTCAGGTAAGTGAGGTGGAAAGGAGAGGGTTGCATAATGCATATGGCAGTATATAAATCACTAGTTATACCCCGGTAAACAAATCCCAATGCCCATCTTTCAATCTTGGACCATTACATCACACCAGCCGTGCACTGGGGACATTCCTCGGTATATGGAACACATTAAGTCTAGCTGTAAATGACTGATCAGGCACACTTTACTGAAATTGGTTCGAAAGACTGATGCTGAAAATCCACAGCTTGGAATAACCCATCCAAACCATCAGGTACAGCTATCTGGTCATCTTTTGAAAAGGCACTAACCTTAATAATCTAGGGTTCTTAATTTTTTACGCTTTTAATACGCTTTTGATTCTTTTTACAGTTGCATTCCACTTTAAGAACATGGTTTTTATAATTTAGTAGGGATGACAAGTGTAGTAATACCAGATCCACCGTGTTTTTCGGTTTGGAAACATACAACTTCATGTTTGGTGTTACAGTGACTGCTGTGAAAAAGCCATTAACTTAAAGGATTCCTATGGAACTGCCCTTATTTATAAATAATCTGTCAGTATATGAATTCTTCTAAATAGAGCATAGTATCATCCATGTACCGCTACACAACAGGAAAAAGTGATATGTATCCAGAACAAATCATGGCAGATCTGGTAAAGTTGTATAATATATATCTCACAATTTACATGTTACGGTCAAATCCTTAGGCACTTCCTTTGAGAGTTGCTATGATAGTATACAGGTTAGTTAGTATATTTATCTGTCAAATTAATTCTAGAAGACTATTTGCATAGCAATCATTTTGAAATCAAAGGGCTACAAAAGTGACCTTTTTTTCAGGTCTTGTTTAACCAATATATTCTGTTTGTTTATAGCAAATACAATGCAAATAATGGGTCACCACATAGACTGCCAACATTACTGTAATGCCTCTCTCAGTCTTAAAGGGGCATAATACTGCATTTACTTACAGGGTTATTTACTAATGAAGAATTCACATTTTCTAACTCAGCAGTTTAAAGTTTTGTTACCCTGGCCTTTAATTAAAAATTCCTTTTAAATTCTCAGTTTACTGAATAACCCTGTGAGTGTATTATTAATTCCTCAAAGGCCTTTGTCAGTCTAGCTTTGCTTGGTACATTGCTTAATGATACATAATTAATTTGTTAATTACTTGTTAATTCTAGAGTTTATAAGACTCTGGTTTATAATAGCTTTCAAGTATGGGCTGAGAAATTCATGCATCAGATAATAAGCCCATAGCAATCAAAAGCTGATAATTGTACCAGGCAGGATAATTTAGCTTTACATTTATTAATCGACCACCAGTTTGTTCCAATACACACAATTCTTGAAGAATCACTATAGGGTCAGGAACACAAACATGTATTCCTGACCCTCTAGTGCTAAACCCACCATTTAGGTGATTTACACCCCCTTAACTCCCTACAAAGATTTAAAACTCACCTTATTTCCAGCACCGCATGGGTCCTTTGTAACATCATCAAAAGAGGCGCTTTTTAGCCAATTAGCCAAAATTGGCTAAAATTGGTATGGGGCGGGGCCAAATGCTGTTTTGGCCAATCATGACCTGCTCATAGAGATGCATTGAATCAATGGATCTCTATGAGAAAAATTCAGCGTCTCCATGCAGAGCGTTTGCTCTGTTTACTGTGCAGCACTGAGCCAGGAAACCCCTCCAGTGGCCACTTGGAGGTGTCCCTAGGGGCAGTGTAAACACTGCCTTTTCTATGAAAAGGCAGTGTTTACATAAAAATGCCTGAAGGGAGCTATTATACTCACCAGAACAACTACATTAAGCTGTAGTTGTTCTGGTGACTATAGTGTCCCTTTGACCCCTTAAGGACCAAACTTCTGGAATAAAAGGGAATCATGACATATCACACATGTCATGTGTCCTTAAGGAGTTATACTTAAAGGGACACTATAGTCACCAAAATAACATTAGCATAATGTAGCTATTTTGTTGAACAGATCATGCCCCTGCAGTCTCACCGCTCAATTCTCTACCATTTAGGAGTTAAACTACACATTCTACCTAAACACTTCCTGTAAAGTGTCATCTAAAGTTTATACTTTCTTTATTGCAAATTCTGTTTAATTTAGAATTTTTTATTTCCTGCTCTGTTAATAGCTTGCTAGACCCTGCATTAGCCTCCTGTGTGTAATTAAAGTTGAATATAGAGACCAGGAGATAAAAACATTTAAAGTAAGTTACATTTAATTGAAAATGAAACCATTTATTTTTTCATGCAGTCTGTGTCAGTCACAGCCAGGGGAGGTGTGGCTAGGGCTACATAAACAGAAACAAAAGTGATTTATCTCTTAAATGACAGTGAATTGAACAGTGATCTATGATCTATGCACAAAAACGGCTTCATTAAGCTAAAGTTGTTTTGGTGACTATAGTGTCCTTTTAACCCCTTAAGGACACATGACATGTGTGACATGTCTTGATTAAATTTTATTCCAGAAGTTTGGTCCTTAAGGGGTTAAAGTGGAACTGTCACATATCTGGTTATCATATTTTTCTGCTGAATATATTTGTCGTACTACAGGCTAGAGTATATATTATTTTGAATAATTAAATTTCACATTTTACGTCCTGCTCTTTATGCAAATCTGCTTACTTTTCCCGAGATTCCTTTTTCCTCCTTGTTCCTTAAAGCCTTGAGAACTGGGAGCTCACACTTATTTAAAGGGTGACTGACCCCAGAAGCGTCTTAGTGACTTTGCCCAGTTAGTTCAATAAAGAGGCGTTCGAAGATGAGTTTACTTTAATTGTCATTCATTTTGGGAAAATCCTCCGACAAAATGGAGGATTTACCCAAGGTGAGATATGAAACATGTGAGATGTAAATTAAAGATTAGTTACTCTTCTGTTCTAGATTTTAAAACTCTCTTATCTTTAAAGTCAGCTTATGCAAAGTAGCAAATGTGTACAGATGCAAAATTTATGTCACTTATGTTTCACAAGGCAATCTGTACACAGTTAACTAAGACTTGATTTTTAACAGTCTTAATTCACTAAAGACGAGCTTGCTGGGGATTTAAGGTGAATTTCAAAATTCAGGTCAAAATAGCTGAAATAGAAACATTCTCCAATTCTTATATTTTGTCCGCAAATTTGAAATTAATTTTGAATTCCTGACAATTTTTACTTAAGGGAATAACACTGTAAATATGTATAATTAGAAAAAAAAATCTGAACTACACTATATGTGAAAAATTAGCTAGTTTTATTATTTTTTACTGAAATGTTTTATATTTTACATACATGTGTGAGTTTCTTTCAGTGAGGTATTTAACATGCGACCCATTTATATTTCATCTTTCGTCTTTTACTACTATCACAAGGCCAAGTAAAGCGGCTCAAAATCCAGTGAAACTTATCAATGGCCATAGCTATATTTGTACTGCTAAAATCCACAAAAAAATGTCAGTCATTGGGTTACTTCACTAGGCAGTAAACTTATTGTGTTAAAATACAGTCAAAGTCTAATTCTCCTTCAAAGTCATTTAGTTACCTGCCAGCACCTGAGATATTTAAAGTACATTTTCTGTGAGCAGCCATCTTGGTTTACTTAAATACTACTGGTGGGATAACAAGTAGTATTTTTTGATCTATAAGAGAACTAAATTTCTATTTTTTTATTTTTTTTTTGTGACAGAAATACTTAAAAAGTTTTATATGCATGATATCAAGAATATTTTGTTTCATAGCCTGGATAGTAGTCATCTGAAAATGTATTTAACAAGAAGTCTAAAAAAAAGACTTGTCATTGAAAAAGTTTGCATTGTAAGATGTCTGCTTGAAAAGCAAGATGGCTACTTGCAGCAGCAGGGAGTTAGAAATATGTATTAAATATGATAATATTTTAGGACTGTCGCAAGCAAAAGGGTCTTGCCTCGTCTCCCGTCCTGAACGTCTAATATATTGATTGCTTGTGACATATCACACACGTACCAGCCTAGCCTATCTGCTGGTCATTTAAGGTCTGCATTTAGATATTACTTCTTTGTCTTGTCGTATCACAGTAATCAGATTGCTGTCATCATTTTACTGTTCTCAACCGTGTCGTTTATGTGAGACATGCTGATGTCTTACTTTGCGCACTGTGTTACACATACAACAACACATTTCACACCCTACAACTGCAACCAAAGGAAAAGTAAAAACGCCAACAGAGACAAAAAAAATAAAAAAATTTAAATAAAGCACCCCCCAAAAAAGAAGGGTCGCATTAAAAAGAAATCCAAGAGCAGACAAAAAAATATATAAACTAGCACGTAACTACATATATACTAGCAATCTAGAAAAAAGGCAAGGCGGAGCTGTGATTTAATGTCCAGAGAGGAAATGTCATAATTCGATGAAAATATATAATATTTATACTAGGTAACTGATGTTTGATATCGGTCACCAGAAATAGTCTATGCTCCAAAATGGGAGATATGTGATGGAAAGGTGGGCAGGCCAGGAAGGGGGGATGAGGGTCAAATCTGCCTGCTAAAGCTGCAGTCTTTTCCAAAAAGAGGTATGTCGGTCTATCTGACCGGCCTCACTTAGGGCATGTTGGACCTTAGGGCCATGTTGAGAACATTGTTGAAGCATTCTGAGACAGTACTCAGCACACAGTGAGATGAACTGCGCTGATTGGGGAGTGTTGGCTTGGAGAATCACAACAAATTGGGGACGTTATACAGTCATAGAGCAACTCAGTTGTGACAAATAGGAAAACTCATAGTATGGAGTTTCCCGTAAATATTGATTTAAGGGTAATCAATGATAACTGACTTATAAAACTTATGCCAAAAGAGCAAAGGTCTTGATGTAATATTTTTGGATAAGGTTTCAGATGATTTAATATTTTTTGTATAAACTTTTCAAATGATTTAATTTTTTTTTATGTTTTTAAAAATATATTAACATTTTTTTTTAAATATATGATATAGTTTTTAAATTTTTATTAATGAAAAAAGTATATATTTTTAAAGTTTATCTGAAAACATTAAATCATTTGAAAAGCTAACCCAAAAATATCAAATCGCAGCCAAACACGTATAAAAATATTTTGGCTGACAATTTTAGAAGTCGTTTGCCATATCACCCATATCAAGCGCTCCCTTCAAACATACATGCAAATTGACACTTATAAGTAATTCGATTTCAATTTTGCGATTATGAGATTATTTGTCCAGTGACACAACTACAGTTTAGTAAACAACCCTCCTGAAATAAATAGCTATTTCCCATCTCTGTACATTAAATCACATTTGAAAACTAAAGACTTGCGCTGGGGAGGGGAGGGGGAAAAGAGTCTGGGGCAGAAGGTATTGGGCTCTTATTTACCTCTTAACTCCATACGCCATGTTTATTAAAGAGTCCAGCCTGCGAGAAAAGGGACAGGAGAGGGAGTGGAATGTTAGTAATCGCGCAGGAATGATAGGGGGTACATTACTGCTCTTAGAAAGGCGCGTGGAGAAACTCTAGCTGGTAGAAGGAAACTTGCGTTAAAAGGTATTAAACATAGTGATAAATAACACCACCAGTCTGTAGAGCTGTCGGGTCTACTCCTATCCAAATATAGTCATGGTCAATACTATTTTTAAGCTTATTTGTATATCTCCTATCTGTATATCCGTCAACTGCCTTCATGTCTGTCACACAGATGTTAATAAACTAAAGGTACAAAAACAAAAGAAAGTACATATAATGCATTGAGTACACAAAGACAGACTAAAAAACAGGGTCTAATAAAGAATTTTAAAAGGGTGCATATAATATAGATATGTGTCTGTATATATATACATGTTTTATTTTCTTTTTTATTGAACATGTTCGTATATTTATTTAAAAAAATTTCATGGGAAATATTAGAAAAATATGACTGAGTTACAAATTGTTCCAGCTGGGGGAAGCGTCACCTGTTGCACTTGCATGTACGAGTACCTCCTGTGATGTCTTAAGACACCACAGGAAGTATAGTGTGCAAAGGACATTTTGTTCTCTTTGATATATTTAAAACATAACTTATCTAATGGTAGTAATACTTTTAAATGTAAGTATTACTGCGCAAAGTGTTAGATTGATTAAGTGAACAGGGTTTCACTATTTCACTTTAAGAGTTTTCGGATGATGATAATGACATCAACATATTAGGTGCCATTTTGTCAAATGTAATAATTACAATGCTATATTGCAGTGGTTTCCACACCAGACCTCAAGGCACGCCTACCAGTCTATGATTAAGAGATTAACGCGTTTTGTCTAAAGTTTTTTTTAGAAAAGAAAAACACCTTAACACAACTGGGTAATACCTGAATCCTGGGCTGTTAGGCATGCCTTGAGGAATGGTTTGGAAACCACTGCTATATTGATTCAGGGAGAGCAAGCTGTAGGGGTGTTTAAAGTTATTAATTGAGAGATTAATCCATTAACATTTTTCTTTTATTGTTTCTATTTAGGTATTTAACCATTAAGGAAATTAGGAATTTAGGAATTTAACTAGGAAATGAGGATACAAAAATAAACAGGCAAATAAACCCTTTAACCTTAGTAAACCCAAACCCCATGTGAATAAAGTTCCACATGGTCCGATACTGAAATTAGCCAATCAAATGTCAATGCAATACATCGTCAACCAATCCATTGATGGTCTGAATAGCATTGAAATAATTACTTGATTGGTTCATATGAGTAGGAGATTAATGTCTTAAGGGGATCATTGGTTCTGTGTATCCCCCCCAAAAAAGACCCCGATCTTCCCACAGGGAAGTGACGTTAAAGACACAGATGATCTTTGTCTCTCTAGCAGTAGACAACAGAAACAGCCAAATTACAGAGGTGCAGGAGGGTCCCATCACTGATATACACACACATACATATCTACACACACGTGTGTGCACACATCTAAAGATACTGATATGTACATAAGTTTATTGAAATCCATCTTACCATTAAAAAGTAACCCTCGTTATGCCTCATTATGGTCATTAGTCAGTGATTTTTGGGTAAAAGTCAGAGATTTCATGACAGTCTCTCTTTACATAGACATGCAACACATACTCTTGTCACGCACTCACAGCCACCCTCGAGGTGGTACCCTGAATATCCCCAATTCATTTTGTGGTCAACATATTTAGCTAATTTTATGTTAGAGATGTATATAATTTTCTTACATAAAAAAGGCTATGAAATTAGGTATTCAAGCATTAAATGTATCACGGGGCAGTGAAATATGCCCTTACCTTGTATAGGAGGCCGAAGGGGTGCTGCAGGCAGCAGGAGTAGGCAAAGAAGGGAGAGGAGGACAGGGTAAGCAGTATGTCGGTAGGAGTTAAGAGAAGGGTATTATAGGTGAGCAATGCTTGAATAGTGAATAAGGCAATGTAAGCGTTCATTCTTTGTATTCTATATTTTAACTAGCGGTCCTATGGGTGGCGTATTCAGTTGGCAGATATGTACAGGATGGAATGAGATGAGAATAAGATGAGCACTATCTAGCAAGCCTCATGGCTGGAGACAGCATTTGAGAAGCACTGGTGAAAAGTACAAGCATGAGTAGACAATACAGTATGTATGACACAGCTAAAAATAATCTAGAGTAGATAATATCAAAATTAAATAGAAAAAGAGGCAAAAACTTAGAATGGGTGGGGGTAACTGAATGGGGGAGGGTGTATAGGCAGTAGTAGATAAGTAGTAACAATGAAGAGGCAATGTCGACAGTAATGCAGGGTCTAGCACAGGAATAACATGAGTAACACAAGCAGCGTAACAATAGGTTGTAAATAGAAATTATAAATGGGGGTTCCGAAGGTCGAAATATAAAGGGTAGATGTAAATAGTAATGCACGGTGTGGCTAGATATGGGAATATAATACGAAGTAATGGAGAGTAGGATTATAGAGGTGCATAGACAATAATATAATAGAATATTGGTAGCTGGGAAGTGACAATAATGGGTTTATGCAATATGTTTATGTAATACAAGAGGGGACTACAAGGGAAGTAAGATTCAAAAGCTATAGAAAGTGATGTAAAGGATGGAGAGTAACATAAGAGGGGATATAGAGAGCAATGTAAGACGTAGGTAAATCGAGAGCATGATATGGAGGAGGTGTAAGCAGTAACATTATAGGAGATATACAGGAGGAATTCCGGAAGGGTAAAGGTGGTAATGTAGAATGGGGGTTCAGAAATAATAACAGGACAGGGGGCTATAGGCAATAATATAGACAGTGACCAGATGGGGAAATAGCCAGTAATAAAGGATGGATTATACTAAATGTAAATGGATGGGGGATGGAAGGGACTAACAGGATGGGATCTAGGTGATACTATAGTCTAGAGGTACATAGGGAGTATCAGGTGGTGATTTAGCTGTATTAAAGGATGGGGGTGCATGGCAATAATACAGGAGGGGTATAGACAGTAACTGGCAGTAGACACAAAGTAGTAGGAGACAGGAATTATTATTTACAGACAGCATGCAGGAGATGGGTGGCAACACTGGATGGGTGGATTCGAGCATTCCGAGTGAAAGACAATAGCGTTATTTTGATGTAAATGGCTTGATGTGCATGGCCTATGGATAGTAAGAGACAATGGCATATGGATAGTGGGATAGTAATGATTACTGGGGAATCTGCTTACCTGAATCTCTGTGTCTGATGGTGCAGGGGTCCTGTGTACCTCCTGGCTGTTGTCTGGTACAGGTGGGTGAGCAGAGCCTGTCCTGTTTTCTGGCTGGGATTGTTGGCAAATTTCACTGTAATTGGTTCACTGGCACCAAGAGGCTTCTGTCCATTCAGGCCCTTAATAGCCTCTTCTGCTTCTATCCTTTTATCAAACCGTATAAAACCTACACCCCTGGAGACACCTAAAAAAGGCAAAAACAAAAAACACAGTAGAGCCACAACAATAAAATTTATGATTACTTCAATTGTCATAAAATGTTACAGTGTAATAACGCACTCAGGAGCTGGGTTACTGTAATAAGATGTTACGTGGTAATAAGGCGCTCAGGAGCTGGGTTACTGTAATTAGATGTTACGGGGTAATAAGGCACTCAGGAGCTGGGTTACTGTAATAAAATGTTACAGGGTAATAAGGCACTCAGGAGCCAGGGTTACTGTAATAAGATGTTACAGGGTAATAAGGCACTCAGGAGCTGGGTTACTGTAATAAGATGTTACAGGGTAACAAGGCACTCAGGAGCCGGGTTACTGTAATAAGATGTTACAGGGTAATAAGGCACTCAGGAGCCAGGTTACTGTAATAAGATGTTACAGGGTAATAAGGCACTCAGGAGCCGGGTTACTGTAATAAGATGTTACAGGGTAATAAGGCACTCAGGAGCCGGGTTACTGTAATAAGATGTTACAGGGTAATAAGGCACTCAGGAGCCTGGTTACTGTAATAAGATGTTACAGGGTAATAAGGCACTCAGGAGCCGGGTTACTGTAATAAGATGTTACAGGGTAATAAGGCACTCAGGAGCCGGGTTACTACAGGGTAATAAGACTCAGAGCCGGTTACTGTAATAAGAGTTACAAGGTAATAAGGCACTCAGGAGCCGGGTTACTGTAATAAGATGTTACAGGGTAATAAGGCACTCAGGACTACAGGAGCCGGGTTACTGTAATAAGATGTTACAGGGTAATAAGGCACTCAGAGCCGGGTTACTGTAATAAGATGTTACAGGGTAATAAGGCACTCAGGAGCCAGGTTACTGTAATAAGGTGTTACAGGGTAATAAGGCACTCAGGAGCCGGGTTACTGTAATAAGATGTTACAGGGTAATAAGGCACTCAGGAGCCGGTTACTGTAATAAGATGTTACAGGTAATAAGGCACTCATGAGCCAGGTTACTAATAAGATGTTACAGGGTAATAAGGCACTCAGGAGCCGGGTTACTGTAATAAGATGTTACAGGGTAATAAGGCACTCAGGAGCCTGGTTACTGTAATAAGATGTTACAGGGTAATAAGGCACTCAGGAGCCGGGTTACTGTAATAAGATGTTACAGGGTAATAAGGCACTCAGGAGCCGGGTTACTGTAATAAGATGTTACAGGGTAATAAGGCACTCAGGAGCCAGGTTACTGTAATAAGGTGTTACGGGGTAATAAGGCACTCAGGAGCCGGGTAACTGTAATAAGATGTTACGGGGTAATAAGGCACTCAGGAGCCGGGCTACTGTAATAAGATGTTACAGGGTAATAAGGCACTCAGGAGCCGGGTTACTGTAATAAGATGATACAGGGTAATAAGGCATTCAGGAGCCGGGTTACTGTAATAAGATGTTACAGGGTAATAAGGCACTCAGGAGCCGGGTTACTGTAATAAGATGATACAGGGTAATAAGGCATTCAGGAGCCGGGTTACTGTAATAAGATGTTACGGGGTAATAAGGCACTCGGGAGCCGGGTTACTGTAATAAGAAGTTATAAGGTATTAAGGCACTTGAGTGAAGGGATACTGTATATTATATACCTGTGACTTGATCCACCAGTATACGAGATGTGATAATTCTCCCGTATTGAGAGAAAAGCTGTTCCATCTCTTTCTGGTTCATGGTTTTTGGGAGGCTGCTGACGTATAGGTTGGCATCTCGTATAGAGGCTGAGCTTGGGCGGGCGTATGATACCTGTGTAAACAGGAGAGAGAATATCACCATATTAGCTTCTATATACATTTAAACACATACATTCTTAAATTTATTACTGTATAAAATGGGATTTGAAACATATTTTAGAAAAGGTACCAGTTAGATTGTTGCTGAGCAATTACAAATGTAAAGCACAACATTATATAATGAGACCTTTAACTCCCAGAATCCCTTGCACAGGAGCACACCCTTGGCATTGTGGCAGTACATAGATGGGGCTGAATACTACAACATAGGCAAAACCTGCTGATTTGGGAAATAATTATCCAATTCACATATAGTCACTACTTGGTTATAGTAATATGTGGGGTTTAATGAATAAACCCTCAGAAATGTGCTTAGCCAACAGCAGCTACCTGAATCCAAACTAACATTTAAACTAATATTTAATCTATACATTGTCAATGTTACTGGCACTGTGTATAGAATTGAATGGCGTTCATTGTCATGTTTCATTGATAATAAGAACAATGACACTTAGTAACAAAAATGTAACAGTGAGATAACAGGTTCCAGCCTACACAGCAGCCTACATTGTCCACTAGAGGGCCACCCTGCTCTAACAACGCCCAACATTTTAACAGGCACTGTTGTGACTATAGCACTGTTGCATCATTGCTATAATAATACTTGACATTTTGAACTGCTATTTCTATAGTGAGTCCACATTTGTAGATGATTCAGATCCACCGTCACTTTCCTGGAAATGAAACTATAGAATAAAACACTGAAAATCGCCCATAATTGTGTTAACAATTTTTTTTGTCCTGTGATGCTGCATTTTCTTGTAAATGTTTATTAAACATTAAGCAAGTGAAATCACAACCCAGTTCAGTCCTGGCATAGCGAAGACATACAGTGCATAGTGCAACATTGTGTTTCTACTCCTTTGTCTAATTTGACTGACAGGTGCAAATGGTATGACTGACAGGATGGCTCTAAGTTCAAGGATAGCAGTAAATACAATAGTTTTTATTTAATAAATTTCACGTTAATTTTTAAAGACCTGCCAAACACATAATGACTAAATATGGTAGATAAGCAAAGAATACTAACACTCCTGAGAATTGGAAGGATAATGTAGAGGGTTGCAGAAAAATCACTACTTCTTAACACCTTCATCAGAAGAGGTTAAGCAAATCCCATTGTCTCATGATGATCCTTCATAAAGGGGTTTAAAACATCCCTGGTTAGAGGGACAGTATCATTAAGCAAAGTAATGTGAAGATAGAATCTTCATATCATAATAACATATGAAACCATTTCCTGTGTGGCAGTGAAGGGGTTAAACTGCTCTTTTGTTTATCCCTGGGGATAATGGATTGTTTATCATGCGCAGGGCATCTGCTGCCAGTGTATTGTGCAGACCTCTCTAGGGAATTTCCCATGAGCCTATGCAGCCTCAACGCACATCATTAAGGCAGGTCACATATCATCTGATGCAACAAACTCCTAATAATCAGGAAACCGTAGCTATTAATTAATTAATATTTTCACTAATATTATTACAGTTATTTAGGGTTTTCAATGCAGCGTTTAAAAGCTGGGCCTGATACTCCCTATAGATACTACTAAAGCAGCCAGTCGTTATATCACGCCTTAAGATTCCAGTTTTATAGAATTTGTCTTCCTGGTAAAACATGTAAGCCCAAATGAAGAAATTAATATGCAAAAGCACCACTTAAAACAGCTCCTTTATCCTATTAAAACTCATTTGCACAACAGTATTATACGCCATTTACATTACATTGGGGAATTGGCAGACAGACAGGATGCTTGACAAATACAGTGCCTTCCACTAATATTGTTACCCTTGGTAAATATGGTCAAAAAGGCTGTGAAAAAATGTACTTGTTGCTTAACCTTTTGATCTTTTGTTCAAAAAATACATAAAAATACTCTGCTCTCATGGATATCAAAGAATTAAAAAAAATTTTTTTAAAAATTGTTAAATATATGTGTGGGACAATTATTGGCACCCTTTTAGTCAGTAATTTGTGCTACCTCCCTTTGCCAAGATAACCGCTCTGAGTCTTCTCTTATAATGCCTAATGAGGTTGGAGAATACATGGCAAGGAATCTGAGACCATTCCTCCATACAGAATCTCTCCAGATCCTTCAAATTTGGAGGTCAACGCTGGTGGACTCTCCTCTTCAGTTCACCCCACAGGCTTTCTATGGGGTTAAAGTCAAGGGGACTGGGATGGCCATGGCAAGACTTTGATTTTGTGGTCAGTAAACCATTTTTGTGTTGATTTTGATGTATATTTCGGACCCAACCACGGCCCACTTTCAGCTTTCCGGCAGAAGTAATCAGGTGTTCATTTAATATTTGTTGATATTTGATGGAGTCCCTGATGTCATGTATCCTAATAAAATGTATAGGTCCTCTGGCAGAAAACTGTCCCAAACCAATAAAGAGCCACCACCATATCTAACCGTGGGCAAGAAGTACTTTTCCATATGGCTAGCTCTCTGTGTGCGCCAAACACACCTCTGGTGTTTATTGCCAAAAGGCTCCATTTTGGTTTCATCTTACCATAGGACCCCATCCCATTTGAAGTTTCAGTAGTGTCTGGCAAACTGAAGACTTAATTTTTTTTTTTATAAGAATAGAGGCTTTTTCCTTTACACCCTTTTAAACAGCTTGTGGTGATGGCGTTACGCAATTCGGTTGCATCAGATTGTAGTTTTGGAGACTTTCTGACCCCAATGCGCAACTAACTTTTGAAATTCTCCAGCTGTGATCCTTGGAGATTTTTTGGCCGCTTGAACCATCCTCTTCACAGTGCGTTGAGACAATATAGACCATCGTCCTCTTCCAGGTTGATTCACAACATTTCCAGCTGATTGGGCTTCTTACTTATTGCCAATATAGTTGTATAGCCACTTTCCATTTTGTGAAGCACAACAACCTTTTGCTGCACATCAGAGCTATATTCCTTGGTCCTACCCACTTGTAATAACTAAAGGAATTTGGCCTTTGTGTTACCTCATATTTATTCCCCATGTAAAACATGAAGTCATGGTTGAACAATTATCCGTTCCTAGACCCCCAGATGTACTAAAAGAAATTGTAAAATATCAATGGGAATATACTTCAGATTAATATTCTCATATGAATTCATAGGGGTGCCAATAAGTGTGCCACACATATATAAACCTGTGTTGTGTTTACAATGAGAGCAGAGTATTTGTGTGTATGTTTTTGAACAACAGATGGAAAGGTTAAAAAATAAGCACACATTTTCACAGCCTTCTTTGGTCATATTTACCAAGGGTGTCAATATTAGTGGAGGGCATTGTAGGTGGAGATAGATAGATAGACAGACAGACAGAAAGGCAAAGAGATAGACAAGCAGGCAGACAGACAGACAAAGAGACAGACAGACAGAGAGACAGACAGACAGACAGATAGACAGGAAGGCAAAGAGATGGATTGACAGGCAGGCAGAGAGACAGACAGGCAGAGAGACAGACAGGAAGGCAGGCGGGCAGACAGAGAGACAGACAAACAGACATACAGGAAGGCAGAGAGACAGACAGGAATGCAGAGAGACAGGAAGGCGGGCAGAGAGACAGGCATGAGTCTTCTGATGTGAGTTTCTTTTCTAATTTATTCCCAATTTTATTCTTTTCATTTGTTTATTTTTATAAAAGCATTGTCTAAATTGTGGTGATTAGCACAATGTCTTTAAGTGTCTACATGCCTTTTATTTTACATTTTAAACACTCTGCAGTTTTCAGCATTAAAAAATACTGCAAGTGGCTGTATTAGTCTGCAAAAATACATATTGAATCTTTCTTCTTGTCGAACGTGGAGCCCATGGACATCGTATTAATTGTTTATTGTTCACCCATCTGGGACTCAAAAGCCCAGATTTTCCTGTTACATGAAAGGAAATGTCTGCCTTTCTCTCCTTATCACTGCCTGCAAGAAATGTCTCACTATTTTCAACAGAGGATCTGGTTCAGTACCACAGACAGCGCAGGCCCACAATATCTGCCATGACAGAGGCATACTAAATATAAGGAGGGTGAAGGCTTTCAGCCATTTCCCACCATGTATGATAGTGTGACTGTCATTGCCGCCGCTGCTGGGCGGTGGGGATTAATTTGCATATTTTAGATCAGATCAGACAAATTGAAGAAAGAAAATCTCAAACACAACTATTTCCCTAGTTCTCTACAAGAGAAGACAAAGTATAAAATAATGTTATTACTCTTAGCAAGCTTCTTTTTTTTAAATTGATTTCCCTGATATCTCTCTCTCTCTCTCTCTCTATCACACACACACAGACACACACACACTCTCTCTCTCTCTCTATCACACACACACACACACACTCTCTCTCTCTCTCTATCACACACACAGACACACCTCTCTCTCTCTATCACACACACACTCTCTCTCTCACACACCTCTCTCTCTCTATCACACACACACACACACACACACACACACACACACACACACACACTCTCTCTCTCTATCACACACACACACACACTCTCTCTATCACACACACACACACACACACACACTCTCTCTCTCTCTCTATCACACACACACACTCTCTCTCTCTTCTTTTTTTTCTTTCTTCATAAATAAACCCCATTATCAAGAGAAACGCTATAGCGTAACATTTATAAGAATGCAGTCTTGTTTTACATTTTATACAAAAACAGCCTGACATTAATTTGTTTATCTAGTCACACTAACACTGGCGAAATGCACGCTGAAGTCAGAAAATCTGCTGATATTGCATTTTTAGAAATACCCATTTATTACCAACGATGCTAAACAAAAATAAGAATTAAAAAAAAAATGCAGAAATGCGATACATATTTCATGAAGAACTTTCTGCTAGTTAATAATAATAAAAAAAAACTTAAAATGAATGTACAACACTACAAATGTACATTTTTGAATGAGTAAAAATAATTTTTTTCGAGTCATGATTCTTTTATATAGCAGCGTAATAACTTCCACCAAGCCAGGATCTGCATTTCTTTTGCATGATAAGTTACATTTGTTTCAGAGGATGTGATTCAGCTGCAATACATGCAAAATGACTGATGGGGCAGGGAGGCTGGGTTAAATCATCATAAAGGACGTCAGGCATGCTTGCTTGATATAGAATAGCTGCAGTGCAGGTGCAGTGCCATTAAATAAATGGACTGTGCAGTCAAACCCACAGCACGCTCTCTCCCTGCACACGCAATACGTTGCTCTGTTATATAGTCATGCAGCATTCTATCACTGTGCAGCATTCCAACCTAGTGATACTGAGCTTAAATCAGCATTTTCCATTACAAAGACGCGTGAGAATCAATTAATTTAAAAAAAAAAGTAATTCTGGTCGCCAAATTCTTAATTCAATTCAGTGATGCCTTGCGAGCAATACACACTTTGAGGCTGTATATCTTTTTATAATTTTATAATACTGTCTCCCCAAATTCGTTGCTGGAAATCTTTAATTCACAAAACAATTTTTTAATTAAATCAAAAATGGCTACATATAGGCCAGAATAGCTAGGCTTGGGTAAGAGGTGGGTTGTGGGTATGTTTGCAATTTGGGTATTTTAGTTTAAATAACAAAAAAAAAAGTTTTTCTGGTTCAAGTAAATCACTGTTTAACAAGCAAACATCACTGTGATTATGTCACTGTGCTCACCAGTCGAACTGACCCTTTTCCTAGTTAAACATTTCTCTGTCATTGGTCAGTTTGTTTACCAAGTGGGACTGTCCTTTGAAGCCTTTTTACTTTCATAAGGTCACTGCACTCTCCAGTGGGATGGGACCTTTAAACCATTAAATATGTCACCATCATTAGGTCACTGAACTCTCCAGTAAGGCTGGCCCTTTAACCCATTAAATATGTCACCGTCATTAGGTCACTGCACTCTCCAGGAAGGCTGGCCCTTTAACCCATTAAATATGTCACCGTCATTAGGTCACTGCACACTCCAGGAAGGCTGGCCCTTTAACCCATTAAATATGTCACTGTCATTAGGTCACTGTGCTCCCCACTAGGGCTAGCCTCTAACCCATTAAAATGTCACTGTTATTAGGTCACTGTGCTCCCCTGGGGGACTGACCATTTAATTAAACAGATTATTCAGATGAATCATTTCTCTTTTCGTGATAGATGTTAGATAGTAAGCTTTACGATTGTAAGAGAGGGATAGACTCTGGAAAGTCCTGTTAGACCAGTATCTGAGATTAGGTCACATTAGTCTTTTAGTCGCCTTAGCCTTTAACTTTCCATTGTGTGACCCTGATTTGAGATTTAATAACAGCAGCTGCCTTCCTATCCTCTGCCACTTTTACTCTCCAGGGAAAATACCCCATAATTAGCCATAGAGAGGACAGATGGCTGAGTGCTTTTGTTTCAAGCTCCCCCCGCCCATCCTATTCCTCTTATCCTTCTTCCCAAAGGGCATGCATTTATATAACAAAAGAAACCAAAACAGAATATACCCCCTTCTCTCTGCCAGTGACCTGCTGCCTCCGCTATGAAGTGACCCTTGGAGGGTATATGTTTTTTAGGGCATCTGTCAGCTCTAGCTCCTGTCAGTGGGGGAGGTATAGGATTTCTGTGTGTAAGGAGCACAATCTGTTAAAATCAATGTAGCCCACCCAATTTGCATTCCTAAAATTATTCTGCTAAAATATACGGCGTTCACCAGGGATAGCACACCTCAACATCGAGCCAAGTTATAGAGAGATTTAACACTGAACCAGTCATTGTCACCTGTTAGCAGCCATATTCTTACATATATGATTGTGGAAAGCACCTCGAACATGTTCTATTACTACTAATTATTATTATTATTATTATTGTTATACAGCGCAGTGTGTTCATTATCAGTGTATAGATACTCAGTATTATTATACAGTGCAGTGTGTGCATTATCAGTGTATAGATACTCAGTATTATTATACAGAGCAGTGGGTTCATTATCAGTGTATAGATACTCAGTATTATTATACAGCGCAGTGAGTTCATTATCAGTGTATAGATACTCAGTATTATTATACAGAGCAGTGGGTTCATTATCAGTGTATAGATACTCAGTATTATTATACAGCGCAGTGTGTTCATTATCAGTGTATAGATACTCAGTATTATTATACAGCGCATTGTGTTCATTATCAGTGTATAGATACTCAGTATTATTATACAGAGCAGTGGGTTCATTATCAGTGTATAGATACTCAGTATTATTATACAGCGCAGTGTGTTCATTATCAGTGTATAGATACTCAGTATCATTATACAGCGCAGTGTGTTCATTATCAGTGTATAGATACTCAGTATTATTATACAGTGCAGTGTGTTCATTATCAGTGTATAGATACTCAGTATTATTATACAGAGCAGTGGGTTCATTATCAGTGTATAGATACTCAGTATTATTATACAGCGCAGTGTGTTCATTATCAGTGTATAGATACTCAGTATCATTATACAGCGCAGTGTGTTCATTATCAGTGTATAGATACTCAGTATTATTATACAGTGCAGTGTGTTCATTATCAGTGTATAGATACTCAGTATTATTATACAGCGTGTTCATTATCAGTGTATAGATACTCAGTATTATTATACAGCGCAGTGTGTTCATTATCAGTGTATAGATACTCAGTATTATTATTATACAGCGCAGTGTGTTCATTATCAGTGTATAGATACTCAGTATTATTATACAGTGCAGTGTGTTCATTATCAGTGTATAGATACTCAGTATTATTATACAGCGCAGTGTGTTCATTATCAGTGTATAGATACTCAGTATTATTATACAGCGCAGTGTGTTCATTATCAGTGTATAGATACTCAGTATTATTATACAGTGCAGTGTGTTCATTGTCAGTGTATAGATACTCAGTATTATTATACAGTGCAGTGTGTTCATTATCAGTGTATAGATACTCAGTATTATTATACAGAGCAGTGGGTTCATTATCAGCTTATAGATACTCAGTATCATTATACAGCGAACTGTGTTCATTATCAGTGTATAGATACTCGGTATTATCATACAGCGCAGTGTGTTCATTATCAGTGTATAGATACTCAGTATTATTATTATACAGCGCAGTGTGTTCATTATCAGTGTATAGATACTCAGTATTATACAGTGCAGTGTGTTCATTATCAGTGTATAGATCATATTATTATACAGCGCAGCGTGTTCATTATCAGTGTATAGATACTCAGTATCATTATACAGCGCAGCGTGTTCATTATCAGTGTATAGATACTCAGTATTATTATGCAGTGCAGTGTGTTCATTATCAGAGTATAGATACTCAGTATTATTATACAGTGCAGTGTGTTCATTATCAGTGTATAGATACTCAGTATTATTATACAGCGCAGTGTGTTCATTATCAGTGTATAGATACTCAGTATTATTATACAGTGCAGTGTGTTCATTGTCAGTGTATAGATACTCAGTATTATTATACAGTGCAGTGTGTTCATTATCAGTGTATAGATACTCAGTATTATTATACAGAGCAGTGGGTTCATTATCAGTGTATAGATACTCAGTATTATTATACAGTGCAGTGTGTTCATTGTCAGTGTATAGATACTCAGTATTATTATACAGTGCAGTGTGTTCATTATCAGTGTATAGATACTCAGTATTATTATACAGAGCAGTGGGTTCATTATCAGCTTATAGATACTCAGTATCATTATACAGCGAACTGTGTTCATTATCAGTGTATAGATACTCGGTATTATCATACAGCGCAGTGTGTTCATTATCAGTGTATAGATACTCAGTATTATTATTATACAGCGCAGTGTGTTCATTATCAGTGTATAGATACTCAGTATTATTATACAGTGCAGTGTGTTCATTGTCAGTGTATAGATACTCAGTATTATTATACAGTGCAGTGTGTTCATTATCAGTGTATAGATACTCAGTATTATTATACAGCGCAGTGTGTTCATTATCAGCTGTATAGATACTCAGTATTATTATACAGCGCAGTGTGTTCATTATCAGTGTATAGATACTCAGTATTATTATACAGTGCAGTGTGTTCATTATCAGTGTATAGATACTCAGTATTATTATACAGCGCAGTGTGTTCATTATCAGTGTATAGATACTCAGTATTATTATACAGCGTAGTGTGTTTATTATCAGTGTATAGATACTCAATATTTTTATACAGCGCAGTGTTTTTATTATCAGTGTATGGATACTCACTAACATTATACAGCGCAGTGTGTTCATTATCAGTGTATAGTTACTTAGTATTATTATACAGCGCAGTGTGTTCATTATCAGTGTATAGATACTCAGTATTATTATACAGCGCAGTGTTTTTATTATCAGTGTATGGATACTCACTAACATTATACAGCGCAGTGTGTTCATTATCAGTGTATAGATATTCAGTATTATTATACAGCGCAGTGTGTTCATTATCAGTGTATAGATTCTCAGTATTATTATACAGCACAGTGTGTTCATTATCAGTGTATAAATACTCAGGATCATTATACAGCGCAGTGTGTTCATTATCAGTGTATAGATACTCAGTATTATTATACAGTGCAGTGTGTTCATTATCAGTGTATAGATACTCAGTATTATTATACAGCGCAGTGTGTTTATTATCAGTGTATAGATACTCAGTATTTTTATACAGCGCAGTGTTTTTATTATCAGTGTATGGATACTCACTAACATTATACAGCGCAGTGTGTTCATTATCAGTGTATAGTTACTTAGTATTATTATACAGCGCAGTGTTTATTATCAGTGTATATATACTCTGTATTATTATACAGCGCAGTGTTTTTATTATCAGTGTATGGATACTCACTAACATTATACAGCACAGTGTGTTCATTATCAGTGTATAGATATTCAGTATTATTATACAGCGCAGTGTGTTTATTATCAGTGTATAGTTACTTAGTATTATTATACAGCGTAGTTTGTTTATTATCAGTGTATAGATACTCAGTATTTTTATACAGCGCAGTGTTTTTATTATCAGTGTATGGATACTCACTAACATTATACAGCGCAGTGTGTTCATTATCAGTGTATAGTTACTTAGTATTATTATACAGCGCAGTGTGTTTATTATCAGTGTATAGATACTCACTAACATTATACAGCACAGTGTGTTCATTATCAGTGTATAGATATTCAGTATTATTATACAGCGCAGTGTGTTCATTATCAGTGTATAGATACTCAGTATTATTATACAGCGCAGTGTGTTCATTATCACTGTATAGATACTCAGTATTATTATACAGCGCGGTGTGTTCATTAGCAGTGTATAGATACTCAGTATTATTATACAGTGCAGTGTGTTCATTATCAGTGTATAGATACTCAGCATTATTATACAGCGTGGTCATGTATAGATACTCAGTATTATTATAAAGTGCAGTGTGTTCATTATCAGTGTATAGATACTCAATATTATTATACAGTGCAGTGTGTTCATTATCACTGTATAGATACTCAGTATTATTATACAGTGTGTTCATTATCAGTGTATAGATACTCAGTATTATTATACAGCGCAGTGTGTTCATTATCAGTGTATAGATACTCAGTATCATTATACAGCGCGGTGTGTTCATTATCAGTGTATAGATACTCAGTATTATTATACAGCGCAGTGTGTTCATTATCAGTGTATAGATACTCAGTATTATTATACAGTGTGTTCATTATCAGTGTATAGATACTCAGTATTATTATACAGTGTGTTCATTATCAGTGTATAGATACTCAGTATTATTATACAGCGCAGTGTGTTCATTATCAGTGTATAGATACTCAGCATCATTATACAGCGCAGTGTGTTCATTATCAGTGTATAGATACTCAGTATTATTATACAGCGCAGTGTGTTCATTATCACTGTATAGATACTCAGTATTATTATACAGCGCGGTGTGTTCATTAGCAGTGTATAGATACTCAGTATTATTATACAGTGCAGTGTGTTCATTATCAGTGTATGGATACTCAGTATCATTATACAGCGCAGTGTGTTCATTATCAGTGTATAGATACTCAGTATTATTATACGGTGCAGTGTGTTCATTATCAGAGTATAGATACTCAGTATTATTATACAGCGCAGTGTGTTCATTATCAGTGTATAGATACTCAGTATTATTATACAGTGCAGTGTGTTCATTATCAGTGTATAGATACTCAGTATTATTATACAGCGCAGTGTGTTCAATATCAGTGTATAGATACTCAGTATTATTATACAGCGCAGTGTGTTCATTATCAGCTTATAGATACTCAGTATTATTATACAGTGCAGTGTGTTCATTATCAGTGTATAGATACTCAGTATTATTATACCGTGCAGTGTGTTCATTATCAGTGTACAGATACTCAGTATCATTATACAGTGCAGTGTGTTCATTATCAGTGTATAGATACTCAGTATTATTATACAGCGCAGTGTGTTCATTATCAGTGTATAGATACTCAGTATTATTATACAGCGCAGTGTGTTCATTATCAGTGTATAGATACTCAGTGCATCATTATACAGCTTAGTGTGTTCATATCAGTGTATAGATACTCAGTACTGCCTATACAGCTGCAGTGTGTTCATTATCAGTGTATATACTCAGTATATTATATGCGCTTAGTGTGTTTATTATCAGTGTATATACCTGTGTATCATTATACAGTGCAGTGTGTTTATATTATCAGTGTATAGATACTGCATTATTATACAGCCGCAGTGTGTTCCACACCATGTATAGATACTCAGCATCACATAGCTAAAATGAAAGTGTGTTCATTATCAGTGTATAGATACTCAGTATTATTATACAGCGCAGTGTGTTCACTATCAGTGTATAGATACTCAGTGTTATTATACAGCGCAGTGTGTTCATTATCAGTGTATAGATACTCAGTATTATTATACAGCGCAGTGTGTTCATTATCAGTGTATAGATACTCAGTATTATTATACAGGGCAGGGTTTTCATTATCAGTGTATAGATACTCAGTATTATTATACAGCGCAGTGTGTTCATTATCAGTGTATAGATACTCAGTATCATTATACAGCGCAGTGTGTTCATTATCAGTGTTATCAGTATTATTAGTATTGTAAAGCGCTGCAGAATAAGTTAGCGCTTTATAAATACCAATTATTATTATTATTATTACAGTACATACATTAATATTAGTATATTTCTCCTGATAATAAAGTTTGGGGTTCTCACCTTGATGGTCTTTGTCTGTAATTTCAGTCCATTCAGGGTGTTTATGGCTTTGTCCGCATCATTGGGGTCCACATAATTTACGAAACCGTATCCCAAACTCTGACCTGGGGAAGACAATTGGGAAGCTAGTATTGTTTAATTATTGATTCGAGTTATATAAAGAGCCAAGAGAAAACATTTACCCAACAACAAAGCACAGAGTTATCTGCCCTGCCCACCTGCCCCTAATTGTGGGTTATTTCATTATTCTTCATTGTTCTGAGTTCTGTTTCTTCTCTCTTACTTTGTTACAGCTTGGGGTGAGTTTTGAGAATAATCAGTTGGTGGCCACCCTGTGTGTTGGCTTTCTTTCGATACAATATCTGGGTCCAGTGTGGTAGGTAGGTGACCACTGACCAGTTTTAGAACTCATGGTTTGATAATGGTAATAATAAAGCTGTGATCCATGCCCTTAACCCACATGCAATTTTCTATAGTTTCTTGTGCCAAAGTATTGGGGGAAGGAGGTTATGGACCCAAGCTGTCATGTTCGAGCGTTATTTACTGAACAAAGAGTTATTGACCACCTAGCTATACCTGCAGAACAACATATCAAATATGGAAAAACATCTCCAACTCGGACTGAGTTTGGGAGTTTTAACCCACCACAACTCACTGTTTAGTAAATAAAACCTTGCTCTAACTCTGCCCTGACCTTCATGCCCAGTCTTCCTTTCCTTGCCCCATCTGTGCTGCATGCAGGGAATATTAAACAATTGTTGTACCTGTGATCTTGTCTCTGACCAACTTGCAGGACTCAATATCTCCAATGCTGCCAAACAGGCTCTTGAATTCCTCCTGGGTCATGTTCTGTGGCAGGTAGTTAACAATCAGGTTAGTTTTGCTGTCATCAGCTGCTCCGTTGGTTCCGTTCAATATCCCGGCACTGCCTGGACCATTACTGGCCTGGGTCTCCATGGTGCTAATTATCTGCTGGAGGGAAGAGGAGAGGGAGACACAATGAATGTCAGGTCTCACCAACATATTTCCATCATATTCTTATAACGTCCCTATTTAGGGGGTACAGTCCTTATTTTGGGCAAAATCCCTCTGTCCCTCTTCTCTATCCTAATCTCCCTCTTTTCTAGCAGCTCCATATTATTGGTGTGTCTGAGTGTATAACAGAGCTCCACAGCAATAACACTCCCAGTAATGTGTCTGAGTGTATAACAGAGCTCCACAGCAATAATACTCCCAGTAATGGGTCTTTAAACTACAATAAATGTGTTTAGAAATCAGTCTGTGTAAATAAGATACATTGTTCATGTTCCAAATTACATTTTAGTTGCATAAACTTTTATAAGCAAATAGCCTAAAATATCTCAGAACAGCCTCGCCCCTGGTTGCAGTCCCACTGACTTTCTTCATTTGACATGTTTGGAGGTATGCATTAATATTTGACAACCTAAATGTGAGAACATCCATATCTGATCAAATAAACGTGACATTAACAGTTGACTAAAACCATTTGATGGCATCTGAATTTCTGGTCTACTTATGTCCCAAACCTTTTAGTCATGTTACATTTATATAATAATACATCCAGAAAAAAACGAAATGATGCATAATCAGTGAATCTCTGCATGACACCAACCTAATAATCTGTGAAATGGCTTGGAAGACCTCTGGAATCATTCATAACGATGATTTAATATTAATTCAGGATTATAACATAAGATTAAGAGTAAGAGTATTTTTCTATAAATAAAAATCTAATACCATAAATCTCTTATTACTGATCCAAATTAGTTAGACGGAAATCTAGCTTCCCATGCTGACTGCGTTACAATATGTAGAGAACATTTTTTAAAGAACTTGAAAGGGGCCCAGGTGAGGCCTAAACCAATAGAAACCAAATAAAAGAGTTACTTGCACACTATCCCAAATACCTTTGCACATTTAAATAACTAAAGGTTTTTATTATCACTCCAATGGCCATTTAAGTGTAAGCTCACCTGCCACGTCAAGGCAATCCTCTTAGGCGAGTCCTACACTAACAATTCACCTTGCTTCTTTCAGCTTTAGGTAAAAAAAAAAGGTTTGCCTTGACGTGGCAGGTTAGCGTATACTTAAATTTCCATTGGAGTGATAATAAAAACCTGCAAGTAAGTGTGCAAGTAACTCTTTTCTTTGCTTTTTTCCCCATAGATTGGGGCTGATATGTACTCTAGTCATTTCTGCCGCCCAGAAGTAGTGGGAGTTTTAGTGCAAGACCTAAACTAATAGAGCCTACTGTAGCAGTTGTTATGATGCCAGGAGTACTCTGGCTCGGTTCTCCGGTAATGGGGCAAACCGTTTAGCAAAGTTTGCCCTCTTACCTGGGTCACGCCACGCTCCTAGTCTCCTCTCCTGCTCGGTGATGTACTTCCAGCCGAAAGCCAATCCAATCGCCATCCAGTGGAAGAAAGCATCAGCTGACCACTCAACGCCAATGAATGGCACACTGTGAGTGCAAATTTGCACAAAATGTATATTAGCCAGTCCAGAACTCTTGTACCGGGCTGGCTAGTGATGCCTTACAATGCTGCTAAAGGTGAAGTAGTTAACAAGCAGCCAAAGGGTTAAACTTGGTATGCTGCACAGACTCCAAGCACCAAGATCACTTCAAGTCACTGAAGTTGTCATGGTGTTTGGAATAGCCCTGAGAGTGCACACTCCTTTTCTTCATTACTACAGAATTTTTCTGATTTAAATCTGACGTAAGGGAAATTCATAAATCGGTATGAAATCTCTACAAAAAGTAACAATAGTGTTCACCATCTGGTTAAAAAGTTAAAAATAGCTATAATGACTAGAATATATTTCAGGAAGAGAAATGTTTTATTGACGACACTGTCAGCTATGCTAGTAATATTTGAATCAATATTAAAATCAATATAAAGAGTATGTCCATCTCTGTAAAAATAGTGATGGGTAACTTTCAGTAAATTGTCAATATCATACACTTATAAGATCAAGTTACAAAGAGGTTTACAATTTCCATTAGGAAACTGATAAAAGCCCCAACTAAACTACTTACTAAATCCAATTGAAATCTTTAGCATTTCCAACCCTGGATATGTTGGTGTATTTAAAAGTCAGGACATTTTATTACTGTCAAAGCTGGCATCCGTAAAGGATCACTCCAAACACCTTAGCTTGCTGAATTGCTTTATGTGCCCTCTTTTTCCATCTACAAATGGTGCAAGGTTCAATAGAAATTGACACCTTTAAAATTAACCTTGTTACACACCCCTGGCTGCCAATCAGGCAACAGTTCATGTTACTTCCTGGTTTGGTTAGCTCAGTGGAGCTAAACTCAAGAGTCAGCAATTTCCCAGAACACCTGCCTTGCAAAGACTCCTCATTGAGCGGCATTGGGAAGTCTGTGATTGGACAGTCACAGAACATCTGGGCGGGGTTAGAAGGGGAGGGCTTGGAAATTCTGCAGACAAGCTAGTTTGCAAGCTAGTTTTAGATCGTTCCCAATGAAAACAAACAACACATAATTACATATATACATGTTTTCATTGGGGTAAATCTACTAAATAATGATTTTAATTAGTTTATTTAATTTATTTATTTTAAATTTGAGAAGGGAGTGTCTTTAACAGAAGCTAACGTTAAAATCAGAATGAGAGCAAAGTGACTTAATTTTAATATGTAATATTCCTGTGCGTGGCTCCTTTTTACTTCATAGTGATTCATACAGGTTTCCCCCAGTCATCATCATACATTGTCACCCTCTCGCAGTGAATGACACGTTTATGTACTGGAAACCTTAATTAGGTCTCCTGTACCAATATCCTTTGTGAACCATGATCTCTGTGCACGGTAGCAATAAGAGGATCTCTGCTCCTCATTGACTTGGGAGAATGCAGATATAAGAATTAATTGATGAGGTAGAAGACTCTGAGTCACAGTGCAAAAAAGTGCATTATAACCCTAGGCGCTAAAATAATTCACTGGGGAGTTGTTGCATGGAATCGCCCTCCAGTAAAGATAGGAATGGCTAGTACAGTAAAGGATTTCACGAATGCTTGGGAAATACCTGACTAGATGGCGCAACGTATTCACATATACCATTATAGTCCATGTTAGTGCTGTGACTGGGTAGGTTAAGGCAATAAGTATTGGAGATGTCTGCACATTTCGTGAGACTCCAATGACACTCAGGGGGAGAACATCCAATAGCCATTCCTAAATTTTAAGCCTCACTAGGCCGTTTGTAATAAACACTGCAAGGGTAACTGAAAAAAAACTGTAAAACTATGTTTTGTTTTGGGTATTCTCAAACCAACCAATTAAAATCCAAAAAAAGGAAATTTTCTACAAATAGATGTATAAACACATGTGAATGTAAATCTGTCTGTCGATCTATCATCCTGTCTGTCTGACTGGCTGTCTAGCTACCTATCCAGCTATAGGATATTAAGCAACTAAATCCCAATTATAAAGATTAATCATTTTATCTACATTAGTGGATTTATGAATGTCCAGGTTATTGCTATTCAGTTAAGATGTTGTTTATTTCAATAAAATGTCTGCACTATAAAAGAATCTGTGTGCCTGGACTTTCATTTTTTGGGGAGTACTCTAGGGGATTTGCCATCCCCTGAGCCTGGACTACCAGTGTATTACCTGATAGGATGTGTGCAGTCCCTATTTGAAACATATTTGGTAACTCATTATAGGGTCCTGAGAATACTCTAAACTGCACTGAGTCTTAGAAGGCTGATTACTCCCATAACGGTATCTCCTAAGAACAGTCAGTAGGTTGGGCTCTGCTAAAACTGGGGCAGCCCAGGCCTCTGAATTGTATAATGCATTGCTATTTAATGTAAAATAATCAATTTCTTTTATTTAACTTTATGATTTTTTTTTATAAGCATTAGTTCAGGCCTAGTTTGAGTTTTGCACATGTGTAAAACAGTGTGAAATATGTTGGGGCATTACAAATAAATATAGTGAGTGTGTCCTTGTTATGGCAGAAAGTGTCAGCCTTCGCAGCGTGATGTATAGGGTCTGCAATTTTACACTACAACGAGCAGAACTTAACAAAACTGCTGCAATTTTATACTTATTCTGCAGTTAGCGAGTGTCTATTTTTAAGCCTCCATCCCGCGTTAGAATTAAGTCTTACATTAAAGTAAAGCACAGTATTTATGTTCTTGTAATTACACCAATAGAAATAATTAGATTAATGTAAGATTTTAAACAATGAACCAATCAGTAAAAGGCAAGTAGCATAATTGAACCAATTAGTAGGCCAGTCTTTTTTTGTTGCACCATGAGGACGAATGGAGGTGGGAGTAGGGAATCTTCCTGTTAATGTATGAGTACGCAAAATATACAGGAAACTAAAATACATAATTTTTCATTCACTATAGTTAAGGCCCAGAATTGCTCTCAAACTCAGCTCAAGAAAAGGACAAGGAATATGTAAAGATATATTTTTTTTTAGGCCCGGCTCAGCTCGTGTCTTATACCCAACAGCATGTCCCAATTTGGGGTAATTCAGACCATGGCAGAGAAAATCCCTGGGGTCCCACGGTTGATCAATCAGATTAATGACTTAACAGCAAAGCCCTAGGAGTAATTTTTCCATACCATACTGTCCCAGCAGGGTTTTTTGGGTAAAATTACAACTGTTCTGAACTTGACTACTGAATTTTAGACCAACGTAGCAGAAACTGAAAATTTTATCTAACTCTAATTTCTCTACACAGGTTTGTGGGCATAAAATGTAAAATTTCCTTGTGAATTCCAGTTTAATAAAAATAAAAAAACTTAAAAAAAAAATAAAATAAAAAATATATATATATATATATATATATATATATAAAGCACCGTGTGGTGGCAAACAATCTACTGTTATCTACAAATCCTTAATTAGCCCCTGAAAACATGAAAAAATATATATAGTTTTCATATAGCCAATAATGTGTACTGTGTTAAAATAACTGTTAGACTATGGGCTGATCAGATAATTCAGGCTTTTCTCATTCAATCACGATCTCTACAAAATGGGACTGTCGCTGAATCTTTAACGGGGGGGGAGGAGGGAAGGGGAGAGAGAAAGACGGCATCTGTCTGGTTCCTTTAATTAGCAAGACAGTGGAGAAAAAGCAGGACATATTTAATGAGATTTTAGCTGCATAATGCTTTAAAGACCCTTTACATCTTCCAGGGTGGGATTAACGTAGCAAGAGGGACAGAGCAAGTATTAAATCGTTATTAGCTCAACTTCTGTAATCCGGGCAGGAAAGGGTTAAACACATTCCGCACAAAGATTTATATCTTTTCAACCTAAAGCTCACTCTTTGAGTGTTTCGTCAGGAAAAATATAAATATATATGTTTGTTCCCTGAAGATATTTCTTCCACGTTCCTTTTGACCTAGTTATCATGGCATCAGCAGTCCATACAAATCATCAGCACGTATAATTGGGGCTGAAACCTTCTTTTCTACTTATTCACGGCTACGTGTAAGGGAGAAAGGCCTTGCTTGCTGTACAACATTTTGAGGCCTAGCTGCCTACCACTCCGCAGCTGCAGCAATATTTTGAATTAAACAAGCAGGTTTTAGTCACGAATGTGGGAATTGTAGAGAATTGACAATGAACTGCAATTTTTTTGTGCATAATTGCTGATCTGGAACGAAATCTGGAATTCCTGTTTTTGTGCAGCTTGGTTAATTTCTCCTAAAAGTTGTAATTCCCTCAACAGTTCTGCACGATTCATGGTTTAGTGAATGTAATCCAGTATGTTTGATACTGTTTTTTCCTAGAGGTTATACCGTAATTGCTGGCTTATTATCGACAGCCCCTGTAAAGGACAATTATCCTAAAAAAAACATTCAATTAAAATAGTTTTTGTTTTCCATTTAAATAAAAATGGGACACATTAACGAATGTGAACAGGCAGGTTTCTATTTCTTATGCAGCTCAATCAGATTAATGAATGTGTATTAAACATATTCATGCATTTTTATACAAACTCTATAAAACAAAAGTCAATAAAATATTATTATCTTGTCCTTTTGCATTTTTAATTAAGCAGATTGCTGATATTCGGCATTTTTAAACAGGCACAAATCCTCTGACAGTAGAGGACAGTTGTAATGTATTTTAACAACTTTTGTCAGCAGTAAGCAAGATTTGGCAACTCAGCTGCTAATGTTGTGAACTACATGTACGAATACCTAACCTGAGCACTGTAGATACTGGTGAATAGTCAGACTTGCCAAGTATGATGGGAAATGTAGTCCCAATCGGCAATATCTTGTACTAAATCATTCGCAGACAGCCACTGAATATTCATTCAGCTTTCGTACGTTCAAACTCTGAACCCATCAAAAGCAATTTTTTATTTAGCAAAAAATATTTAGATATGTATGGAAGTGCTACGTGCCATTTTCACATTGGACTTAGTAGTTATGGTGAAATTCCTTTTTGGTATTAATGCACAGATTACTGGGCGCTCATGTCTGATGCAAACCTCTTTTACTGTACAAAAATGTATATATTTTTTTTAATCTTTGAGTTTATGAGCCACAGTCAAACATGGCAGTATAGTCTGCAGCTCCAGTAAGATATAAGATGCGTCCGGTTATACCGCTCTCACAATACTAAGGTTAACAGAATTTTACCATTTGCTGTTCTGGAAACGCTTTTGCAATAATATATCAGATTTTGGAGTTAGACAGAATTACAACGAGAAGCAAACCTCGTTTGGGAAGGTTGAAACCAGAATTTGGATGGAGTCAAGCTCTTATAAATAGGCCTCATAGCTTGCGCAAGCTCAGATCACTGCAAATGGTCTCTTGCATGTGTTAGCGCATTCTACAATAAACATGCTAGCTTTATATTTTTTTTCTGATAGTCCAGAAAAGTGTTAAACGAGATATAATCAAGGTTCTGAACACATTGTAATATACTCATTGCCATATGCTCCGAATAAATTTCACAGCACGCCCCTGAATTCCTATCCCCCAATGACTGCTCAATTGGTACTTTTTTTAAAAAACCCTGTCACTTATTTTCAAATAGGTGGAGGATGTGTGTTGAATTGTCCCTTACTGACTTGTATGTCAGGCAAATTGAGATCTGTGATTAAAGTCAAAGACATAAAGCAGTGGTTGTTAGGTTTGAGGTGGGGGTGGAAATAAACAGGGCCGGTGGGGGGTTGCAAATTTTACAACGGTGTGTTACGTCTTACATCTAAACTGCACTGTAATTTTTTACACATTGTGAGGACATTTTAAGAGAAGTATATGTTGAGTGCCCATGTTTAAAGTGGGCCTGTCACATAGTATGGCCATTTACACGGGTAATGTGACAGTGACATTATTTTACTAAAAATACAGGGGGCTCTGCCTGGCGCAGAATAGTGGGTGCTAACAATATATGTGTGTATGTATATATAAGTTATTTATACATAGTGTGACTGCTGTTATTTATATTCTCATTTCAAAATGTGACAGTGTCCCTTTAAGTCACATAGTTTACTTGTATTCTCATTTCTAAATGTGACAGTGTCCCTTTAAGTCACATTGTTTATTTATATTCTCATATCAAAAAATGTGACTCTTTCCCTTTACGTCACATAGTTTATTTATATGTTTATTAATGGTAAAAGTTAATACAATAATTATTGGGATTTTGTTTTAACAATTCTTGTATGTAAGTACTCTGTGTTATACCATGTCATGACTGTTCCTTATCTACTATTTTTCCCAATAAATCTCTTTGTTTATACTTTCTTCTTGCTTGGTAACAGAGGGCCAGCCATTGCTAGGGCCTCTATTGCATTGAGAGCTGATTGAGTCACAAGGGGATCGCGGATCCATGGAAACCGTTTTTTTGCCATTAATCTACATACCTTTATGTTGAGTGTTAATTAGGGAAAGAGAGCACATATCAGTCTTAAAGACAAAAGGGCAGATGTGCTAGTCTGCGCCCGTAGAGGAGCACAATCAAACTGTACCCTTATGGTCCCAACAGCAGATGTACAGAAACTGCATTGAGGCAATGTGGCTGAGAGTTATGGGAAAAAAAAGCTTTTGTGCACTAGAGTCTTTTTTTCTCTTTACCACAAAGCTTAGAGTCACGGGGTAAAAAAATAAATAGCTAAAAAAAAAACAGTGCACATAGTGTAGTTTGATATAATGTAGCGTAGAGGAAGTTAAGAAACTATTGCTAATCACTTGATGCCGAATTGTGTAGGACTGGTGACATTTTATTCGCAGACAGATACATTACATAGGACACTGACTGAAACCCCACCCTATGCTCAGTTGGGTTCAGTAACTAAAAATTTTATTCTCTAATGTATGAATTTTAGGCCAGTAGAGGCAAATCTTATTATGCAAGTTACGTATGTTTAAATATTGATAATTGTGACCAAAAATTTGAAATAATCATTGCGTTTGGCTTTTATTCCTGACAATTCACAATTTAGTAAATAACTATGTAGGGGCTGGTAATAGGGGATTCCGCAGCTGTCCCTAAAATTCCGTGGAGTAACGCCAAACTCTTCCTCATATTCATGTCCATATCACACATTTACAGCCCCAACAGCTTTTGATTTGTCCCCACATGATTACACCCAAGAGTGAGCGTATGGATGAATTTAAAAATGTAAAACTCTTAAACATTTTTTAAAAATTTAAATATTTGCTCTTTGTTTTTCAGTTTACCACAGTTTAGCGTGTTTTAAATAAATCTACTGAGATTGTCAGGAAGCATGTTAAAACATAATGTAGTCATTATTCCTCTAGCAATCGATGAATTAAAAAGGACAAATAATCAGAAATAATAAAAAAAATGTTGATGAATAAATTATAACTGTAATATGAAATGTTATAAATAATCCATTCAGTAGCTCAGTGTGAGGTCACAGATCAGAGTAGGGAAAGTGCATAATATAATGCCATGCTTTCTTTCATTAAACCTGCATTGTGTAGTTTGTAGAAAATGTTCATTTTAATGATTATTTGTGAATTTAAGATTTTGACAAACCAAACTATTAAAATTGCAAGTGGCGTAATGTTATCCAGCAAGCTCTCAGTTTCTGTCCTTTCTCTTTATACAAATCATTTTCTGACATCTGCCTTCAGAAGGCTTTAAAAAATAGAACCATAGGCCTGAGGCCTACTAGCCCGGTTGCCATAGAAACTGCATCTTCTGTAATCTTTACGTCCTGTATTATAAGCAAGACCTCGTATACACAAGCACACACACAGAAACCAATTTCTACAACGCTCAAAGGGAGTCTGTTAGATCAGATTTGCTGGAGGCCAACAGTGCTGCAAATTTGATCTATACGTTGTAACAGCTAAACAGCAAGCACATGTATTGATATATGTGGCTTTATACAAAATAATTGCTGTTTTATTTCTGGTGCACAGATTTCTATGAAGTGTGGCCCCCCAAATAACCCATGCACCAAAACCATTTCATTTGAGTTCAGATTGCTGTGAGTGAATATCTAGGCAGACATTTTCAGTGGCCATCTTGGAGGAGGCCTACACAATCACTGATCCATAATAGACACATATATATATATATTTGTTGGCAATTTAGACAACTCACTACTCCCAATATTTCAAATGGACAAATATGGACACTTTAATTTTAAGGATGTGAGCGGGGATGTGCCAAGAGGCAGGACACTTCTGAGAAATTTTCAGCTATTTGCTAATAATATTTTATGCAACTAAAATGCAATTTAGAACAAAAACAGTGTATCTTATTTACACAGACTGATTTCTAAATACATTTATTGTAGTTTAAAGACACATTACTGGGAGCATTATTGCTGTGAAGCTCTGTTATACACACAGACACATTACTGGGAGTATTATTGCTGTGGAGCTCTGTTATACACACAGACACATTACTGGGAGTATTATTGCTGTGGAGCTCTGTTATACACTCAGACACATTACTGGGAGTATTATTGCTGTGGAGCTCTGTTATACAGTCAGACACATTACTGGGAGTATTATTGCTGTGGAGCTCTGTTATACAGTCAGACACATTACTGGGAGTATTATTGCTGTGGAGCTCTGTTATACACTCAGACACATTACTGGGAGTATTATTGCTGTGGAGCTCTGTTATACACTCAGACACATTACTGGGAGTATTATTGCTGTGGAGCTGTTATACACTCAGACACGTTACTGGGAGTATTATTGCTGTGGAGCTCTGTTATACACTCAGACACATTACTGGGAGTATTATTGCAGTGGAGCTCTGTTATACACTCAGACACATTACTGGGAGTATTATTGCTGTGGAGCTCTGTTATACACTCAGACACATTACTGGGAGTATTATTGCTGTGGAGCTCTGTTATGCACTCAGACACATTACTGAGAGTATTATTGATGTGGAGCTCTGTTATACACTCAGACACATTACTGGGAGTATGATTGCTGTGGAGCTCTGTTATACACTCAGACACATTACTGGGAGTATTATTGCTGTGAAGCTCTGTTATACACTCAGACACATTACTGGGAGTATTATTGCTGTGAAGCTCTGTTATACACACAGAGACACCAACAATAAGGAGCTCCTAGAAAAGAGGGACATTAGGATAGAAAAGAAGGGCAAAGAGTTTTGGGCTCAAAATATGGACTATTCCTCCTAAATAGGGACAATTGGGAGGCATGCAACAGCGTGCATAAATCATCCTGACTGAGCACCACATATATATATATATATACATCATTTTACTATGAAAGGTATTTATCCCCAGATGCAATGCATTTTTAGGTTATCTCAAATTAGACTGTTCTAGTGCAGTTATGTCTAACTTTAGCACCCAAAATATTTCTGAACAAAGGCTGACTGAGCATGACGAAAAATGTGTTGCAAAAATATCTAGGTCTTCAAATGTTGGATAATGTTGGATGACATGAGTAAAGTCGACATGTGCCTTACAGCAACAATATAATAAAAATATAATAACCATGCTAAAAATATTACAGAAATGAATATCAGAACTTCATATACCATGTTAACATTTTAATTACTGTATCTCAGTGTATCACTGTCTAAATGGAATATGGGAATAAATATTGCCCGTTAAATGATATATCAAATCACAGATTATCCTGTGGAGTCAAATGGCAAGTACAGAAAATGTATAACTGGCCTACAATTTTATTGACTATAGAATCATATCTTCCCTAAATTAACCCTTCAAGACCAGAGTTAGCTACATGTCCTAGTATTCTGAGATTCCTGATACACTGGATGTTTGATTTATATTTATAAAAAGGGGCTGGAGAAACATGGCATATTTTAAGAAAATTTTAGTGGCCAGAAAGTTCAAAAAAAAGAGAGAAGATGACAGCTTAGGCATGTAAAAGAATTTATAATAGGTAGAGAAAGGCAATAAAAGCAGAATATTAAGATGTAGAGATGTGTGTGAGCAGAGAGGGAGGAAGGGAATAAACTCATTCTAGCTACAATGAGCCTTTCAGGTCAGTGTCCAATCTCTGCCTGACACCAGCATGGTATATCTGCTTACATCCCTTGTGTGGGTTAACAATGTCTAGTGCAATGTAGGGAGGTGCAGACTGGCACTGCCACAGGGGGCACATGCTTGGGAGCAGAGAGTGTGGCACAGCTGTTACCTGTATTCTACCTTCACGGTGCATACACCTGGCATGTTAGATCACCTTGGTGTTTGTTTGTGGGAGAAGAAGTTGGCATTATTGGTTTAGTTAATATGTAAAAGTAATATTGCCACTGACTGTATTATGTTGAAGGCTTACTCACTAAACCAAGAAATTCATGGCGTATACTTTATATGTATATATGCCATGATTGTATAAATTGGCAATGTAACTGTTCTATTTATACCATTATGTATATTGGCATTGAAACCATACTGTTTTACAGACGCCATGATAGGGTGGCATATAAACATGCCATGAGATGTCTATGTTATTGTGCTCCTTATATTTTTACTGTACTGTTTATGTATGCCATGAGATAGACTAGACTGGCACTGTAACTGTACTGTGTATACATGCCATGAGATAGACTGGCACTGTAACTGTGCTGTGTGTGTATGCCATGAGATAGACTGGCACTGTAACTGTACTGCGTATATATGCCATGAGATAAACTGGCACTGTAACTGTACTGTGTGTATATGCCATGAGATAGACTGGCACTGTAACTGTACTGTGTGTATATGCCATGAGTTAGACTGGCGCTGTTAATGTACTGTGTATATATATCATCAGATAGACTGGCACTGTAACTGTACTGTGTATATATGCCATGAGTTAGACTGGCACTGTAACTGTACTCAGTATATATGCCATGAGATAGACTGGCACTGTAACTGTACTGTGTATATATGCCATGAGATAGACTGGCACTGTAATCGTACTGTATGTATGCCATGAGTTAGACTGACACTGTAATCGTACTGTATGTATGCCATGAGATAGACTAGCAATGTAAGTGTACTCAGTATATATGCCATGAGATAGACTGGCACTGTAACTGTACTGTGTATTTATTGCCATGAGTTAGACTGGCACTGTAACGGTACTGTGTATATATGCCATGAGATAGACTGGCACTGTAACTGTACTGTGTATATATATGCCACTGGCACTGTAACTGTACTGTGTATATATGCCATGAGTTAGACTTGCACTGTAATCGTACTGTATGTATGCCATGAGTTAGACTGACACTGTAACTGTACTCAGTATATATGCCATGAGATAGACTGGCACTGTAACTGTACTGTGTATTTATTGCCACGAGATAGACTGGCACTGTAACTGTACTGTGTATATATGCCATGAGTTAGACTGGCACTGTAACAGTACTGTATGTATGCCATGAGATAGACTGCTAGCATATATGCCATGAGATAGACTGGCACTGTAACTGTACTCAGTATATATGCCATGAATTAGACTAGCACTGTAACTGTACTGTATACATGCCATGAGTTAGACTGGCACTGTTAATGTACTGTGTATATATATCATGAGATAGACTGGCACTGTAACTGTACTGTGTATATATATATCATGAAATAGACTGGCACTGTAACTGTGCTGTGTATATATGCCATGAGATAGACTGGCACTGTAACTGTACTGTGTATATATGCCATGAGATAGACTGGCACTGTAACTGTGCTGTGTATATATGCAATGAGATAGACTGGCACTGTAACTGTACTGTATTTATGCCATGAGATAGACTGGCACTATGACTGTACTGTGTATACATGCCATGAGATAGACTGGCACTGTAACAGTACTGTATGTATGCCATGAGATAGACTGGCAGTATATATGCCATGAGATAGACTGGCACTGTAACTGTACTCAGTATATATGCCATGAATTAGACTAGCACTGTAACTGTACTGTATACATGCCATGAGTTAGACTGGCGCTGTTAATGTACTGTGTATATATATCATGAGATAGACTGGCACTGTAACTGTACTGTGTATATATATATCATGAGATAGACTGGCACTGTAACTGTGCTGTGTATATATGCCATGAGATAGACTGGCACTGTAACTGTACTGTGTATATATGCCATGAGATAGACTGGCACTGTAACTGTGCTGTGTATATATGCAATGAGATAGACTGGCACTGTAACTGTACTGTATTTATGCCATGAGATAGACTGGCACTATGACTGTACTGTGTATACATGCCATGAGATAGACTGGCACTGTGATTGTGCTGTGTATATATGCCATGAGGATAGGTTACTGCACTATAAATATATCGTAGAGCAATACTGGCTTATTAGATGCGCCGCCACAACCCACATTGTCTCAATTTTTCAGGTGAATTCAGGAAATAGAAGAGAATAAAAATAACTCCTGGGTGTAAACGCGTTCCACTAAAATAGATGCTCCCTCCTCACTTTAGCAAAGCAATCTAAGAATAGAGAATAAAGAAGAGAGGCGGAGGGTGGTGAGAGAAGGCGTCACACAGAAAGCAAGAGAATAGGAAAAATGGGAATAAGAGTAAGAATACAGACAGTTCTGCAGATAAGGGTACGAGGTCACCGTTTTATGAAAAAAACTATTGGACATAATATGAGATATTACATTGATTAACATGCTTTCCTCTTTTAAATAACAATTTGGCAAACCTATGTCTTGGGGTGAATGCACATACGCACATACACAGTTTGTGAAGGGGTTAAATAGAATTATAGCAGAATGATATTTAAAGGGACACTCTGTGCACCATAACAACATCATAATAATTAATAAGAATATAACCCGTTAAGGTGAGAAGGTGGCTACATGCACCATAACAATTTAATTGAGATTAAGTTGTTATGGTGCTCAGATAAGTCCTTTAAAGATATTTCCAATCACCTATTCTCATAGCATAAATTATGAAGTAAGGCGATCCCATGCCCCTGTCTTCCTATACATTCATTAAGTGGTACTATAAAGACTGAATTGACTAAACAATGTGATTAGTAACATATGGATTCTTTTATAGATTGTACTGTGGCCAAAAAAATTGCTGTAGTCATGGAATAACTACTGGGCAGAGGTTTAAAAGATAGCCGTATCAAGTACTCTGTAAGAAATCTCAGACACACTCAGTTTATGGAGAGCCAACGCGCATGCTCCCAAGAACTCCATTTATTGAATACAGCTGCGAGGGGGACCATCCCTTCAGGATCAAGTAGGAGGAGACATGCAGGAGGACCAGGGAGGTCAAAGAAGCGGCAATTTAAAGCGGGACTCGGCAGGGAGTGTTATGGTTATTAGCATTGTGCATGCTTTTTAATATTTTTCCCTGAGAAAGTCCCGAATGGGAGGAAAGTCATAGGATCTAAACCTGTTTTTAACATATTTTAAAGATAAATTCACTTTTCTACTTTTAACTGTGCTGGAGCAAGCGCAAAGGAGTACTTAGAGGGGATATTGGCCCCCCGTATTTTTGGGGAAGGGATATACCGCTGTATATAGAGGTTTACTAGAGGGACATAAAACGTAAAATAGAGGATTATGGGAGAGATTTAAAGTAGGAAACCGATGTATATTACCATTATGTACGGTGTATTGTTTGTTGGTGAGTACCACCAGCTATTCCAGCAGCTGTAGAGCGCATACTTCTGCACCGACCCACTGAGGTCACATCGTTCTGTTAAGTGTCATTAAGAGAGTCTCTGCATGCAAAGCCGATTGTGCAGGCTTCTTGTTACAAAGAGGATAATAGTAATTAGTCTAAACAAAACTGTGAAGCTTAATTAGCTCATTTGCCCTTCTGTAAGTGCTAATCCTTATAGAGTCTAGATCCTGTGATAATATATGCTAATGCCTTTATTTATGTGTATGCATGGTGATCAATGGGGTACGAGCTCAAAGAGCAGAGTATGATGACATCTTGAGTCTCTCCCTCCCAGCACAGTGTGACACAGACAGGAGGGAGCTATGGGACATGGAGTCTGTCGCTCCCAACACAGGGTGACACAGACTGGAGGGAGCTATGAGACATGGAGTCTGTCCCTTCCAGCACAGGGTGACACAGATAGGAGAGGGCTATGGGACATGGAGTCTGTCCCTCCCAGCATAGTGTGACACAGACAGGAGAGAGCTATTGGACATGGAGTCTGTCCTTCCCAGCACAGGGTGACACAGACAGAAGGAAGCTATGGGACATGGAGTCTGTCCCTCCCAGCACAGGGTGACACAAACAGTAGAGAGCTATGGAACATGGAGTCTGTCCATCCCAGCACAGGGTGACACAAACAGGAGGAAGCTATGGGACATGGAGTCTGTCCCTCCCAGCACAGGGTGACACAGACAGGAGGGAGCTATGGGACATGGAGTCTGTGTCTCCCAGCACAGAGTGACACCAAACAGGAGGTAGCTATGGGACATGGAGTCTGTCCCTCCCAGCACAGTGTGACACAGACAGGAGGAAACTATGGGAGATGGAGTCTGTCCCTCCCAGCACAGGGTGACACAGACAGGAGGGAGCTATGGGACATGGAGTCTGTCCATCCCACCACAGGGTGACACAGACAGGAGGGAGCTATGGGAGATGGAGTCTGTCCCTCCCAGCACAGGGTGACACAGACAGGAGGGAGCTATGGGACATGGAGTCTGTCCATCCCACCACAGGGTGACACAGACAGGAGGGAGCTATGGGACATGGAGTCTGTCCATCCCAGCACAGGGTGACACAAACAGGAGAGAGCTATGGGACATGGAGTCTGTCCCTCCCAGCACAGGGTGACACATATAGGATGTGCACGCTGAGTATTATTAGAATTTTTTTAGGTGGCCTTATTGTGTCTATATCGCTACCCAGAGTACCATTCTTCCAGTCAGTCTGTCTGTACGGAGATTATAAAGTGGATCACTGATTCTGTGTTTCTCATTCCGTCTTTATAGATATCCTCTCTCTCTCTCTCTGTCTCCCATCATTCCAGTCTTTTATCACCACACTTTTGTCTATCACTCCCCTCTCTCCTTACATCCTTCTGTCTACAAATGCCAACACTTTATTTTAATTCTTGTTACAAACATGTTCTTTTTCTCCAAAACCTCCATCCCTGTATTTCACAACCCCCAATTTTGAATTCACCTCTTTGTATTTATCACAAAACCCCATCCCTCTCATCGCCAATAATTCAACACATTCCCCCCAATCACCTTACATAACGCATCCTCCCATTTTACATCTCTCCCTCTATATCCCACAACCCACCCTCCTCTCTCTGTATTTCACGAGCCCTTTCATCAATCTGGCATTTCATTCCAGCTCCATATAATTGCAAACACGCTACATTCATCATCCACTATCTACATCTCACCCCCCCTTCCCCAACGTATCTCTGCATCAATGCATACTCCTTGAAGCTTTATTTCCCCACAACCTCATGTCTACAGCTAACGCACTTTGAGTTATGGAGGCATAACGGTAGGAATATTAAAAAGGAAAATAAGCCCCAGGTAGACACAAAAGAAAATGGATTCATAGTGGGGTATTGCATTAAATTAATAAATAAAAACAAAATGGAGATTAGGGAAATTGAGAATAGAATCTTTCACATGATGTGTGACACTGTCTCGGCTAGATACAGAATGGAATGGTCGGCAAAGTGTGCAAACAGTCATTATTGTGTAGTATGTGTGGCAATCAGTGAATCGCACAGGAAGTGAGAGCCAGTCACTGCGTTAGTCAGTGTGAAGTACTGGGTATATTTGTGGCAGTCACTGTGTTAGTCGGTGGGAAGTACTGGGTATATATGTGGCAGTCACTGTTAGTGTGAAGTACTGGGTATATATGTGGCAGTCACTGTGTTAGTCAGTGTGAAGTACTGGGTATATATGTGGCAGTCACTGCGTTAGTCAGTGTGAAGTACTGGGTATATTTGTGGCAGTCACTGTGTTAGTCGGTGTGAAGTACTGGGTATATGTGTGGCAGTCACTGCGTTAGTCAGTGTGAAGTACTGGGTATATTTGTGGCAGTCACTGTGTTAGTCGGTGGGAAGTACTGGGTATATATGTGGCAGTCACTGTTAGTGTGAAGTACTGGGTATATATGTGGCAGTCACTGTGTTAGTCAGTGTGAAGTACTGGGTATATATGTGGCAGTCACTGCGTTAGTCAGTGTGAAGTACTGGGTATATTTGTGGCAGTCACTGTGTTAGTCGGTGTGAAGTACTGGGTATATGTGTGGCAGTCACTGCGTTAGTCAGTGTGAAGTACTGGGTATATTTGTGGCAGTCACTGTGTTAGTCGGTGGGAAGTACTGGGTATATATGTGGCAGTCACTGTTAGTGTGAAGTACTGGGTATATATGTGGCAGTCACTGTGTTACTCAGTGTGAAGTACTGGGTATACATGTGGCAGTCACTGTGTTAGTCGGTGTGAAGTACTGGGTATACATGTGGCAGTCACTGTGTTAGTCGGTGTGAAGTACTGGGTATACATGTGGCAGTCACTGTGTTAGTCGGTGTAAAGTACTGGGTATATGTGTGGCAGTCACTGTGTTAGTCGGTGGGAAGTACTGGGTATATGTGTGGCAGTCACTGTGTTAGTCAGTGTGAAGTACTGGATATATGTGTGGCAGTCACTGTGTTAGTCGGTATGAAGTACTGGGTATATATGTGGCAGTCACTGTGTTAGTCGGTGTGAAGTACTCGGTATATATGTGGCAGTCACTGTGTTACTCAGTGTGAAGTACTGGGTATACATGTGGCAGTCACTGTGTTAGTCGGTGTGAAGTACTGGGTATATATGTGGCAGTCACTGTGTTAGTCGGTGTGAAGTACTGGGTATATGTGTGGCAGTCACTGTGTTAGTCGGTGTGAAGTACTGGGTATATGTGTGGCAGTCACTGTGTTAGTCAGTGTGAAGTACTGGATATATGTGTGGCAGTCACTGTGTTAGTCGGTATGAAGTACTGGGTATATATGTGGCAGTCACTGTGTTAGTCGGTGTGAAGTACTCGGTATATATGTGGCAGTCACTGTGTTACTCAGTGTGAAGTACTGGGTATACATGTGGCAGTCACTGTGTTAGTCGGTGTGAAGTACTGGGTATATGTGTGGCAGTCACTGTGTTAGTCAGTGTGAAGTACTGGGTATATATATGGCAGTCACTGCGTTAGTCGGTATGAAGTACTGGGTATATGTGTGGCAGTCACTGTGTTAGTCGGTGTGAAGTACTCGGTATATATGTGGCAGTCACTGTGTTACTCAGTGTGAAGTACTGGGTATATGTGTGGCAGTCACTGTGTTAGTCGGTGTGAAGTACTGGGTATATGTGTGGCAGTCACTGTGTTAGTCAGTGTGAAGTACTGGGTATATATGTGGCAGTCACTGTGTTAGTCGGTGGGAAGTACTGGGTATATGTGTGGCAGTCACTGTGTTAGTCAGTGTGAAGTACTGGGTATATATGTGGCAGTCACTGTGTTAGTCGGTGGGAAGTACTGGGTATATATGTGGCAGTCACTGTGTTAGTCGGTGTGAAGTACTGGGTATATGTGTGGCCGTCACTGTGTTAGTCGGTGTAAAGTACTGGGTATATGTGTGGCAGTCACTGTGTTAGTTGGTGGGAAGTACTGGGTATATATGTGGCAGTCACTGTGTTAGTCGGTGTGAAGTACTGGGTATATGGCAGTCACTGTGTTAGTCGGTGTGAAGTACTCGGTATATATGTGGCAGTCACTGTGTTAGTCGGTGGGAAGTACTGGGTATATGTGTGGCAGTCACTGTGTTAGTTGGTGGGAAGTACTGGGTATTTATGTGGCAGTCACTGTGTTAGTTGGTGGGAAGTACTGGATATATGTGTGGCAGTCACTGTGTTAGTTGGTGGGAAGTACTGGATATATGTGTGGCTATATAGAGATATATAGGGGTGTATATAAAAATACCCCTCTCTGTCTCATTAGAGATGTCTTTGCCAGGGGCTCAAGGAAGCAAGGTAAAAGGTCAGTATAGGACCCGTCTAGGGGGGGTCTGCCTTGATGTTGGCAGGCGGGCATTCCTTCCAATGGCCATTGGAGTAACTAAATGACCTCCATTTGTTTAAATGTACATAGGGATTAAGGAGAGATTGCAGGTAACTTTTTCTTTGGTTTTTACTGTATGTAAGGTGGCTGATGGGTACTGTGGTTGTTGTGGCAACCCAGGAGTGATGGGAGTGAGCGCAGGACTTATATATGTGGCAGTCACTGTGTTAGTCGGTGTGAAGTACTGGGTATATATGTGGCAGTCACTTTGTAAGTCGGTGTGAAGTACTGGGTATGTGGCAGTCACTGTGTTAGTTGGCGTGAAGTACTGGGTATATGGCAGTCACTGTGTTAGTCGGTGTGAAGTACTCGGTATATATGTGGCAGTCACTGTGTTAGTCGGTGGGAAGTACTGGGTATATATGTGGCAGTCACTGTGTTAGTCGGTAGGAAGTACTGGGTATTTATGTGGCAGTCACTGTGTTAGTTGGTGGGAAGTACTGGATATATGTGTGGCAGTCACTGTGTTAGTCGGTGGGAAGTACTGGATATATGTGTGGCTATATAGAGATATATAGGGGTGTATATAAAAATACCCCTCTCTGTCTCATTAGAGATGTCTTTGCCAGGGGCTCAAGGAAGCAAGGTAAAAGGTCAGTATAGGACCCGTCTAGGGGGGGATCTGCCTTGATGTTGGCAGGCGGGCATTCCTTCCAATGGCCATTGGAGTAACTAAATGACCTCCATTTGTTTAAATGTACATAGGGATTAAGGAGAGATTGCAGGTAACTTTTTCTTTGGTTTTTACTGTATGTAAGGTGGCTGATGGGTACTGTGGTTGTTGCGGCCACCCAGGAGTGATGGGAGTGAGCGCAGGACTTATATATGTGGCAGTCACTGTGTTAGTCGGTGGGGAGTACTGGGTATATATATGGCAGTCACTGTGTTAGTCGGTGGGAAGTACTGGGTATATATGTGGCAGTCACTGTGTTAGTCGGTGGGAAGTACTGGGTATATATGTGGCAGTCACTGTGTTAGTCGGTGGGAAGTACTGGGTATATATATGGCAGTCACTGTGTTAGTCGGTGGGAAGTACTGGGTATATATGTGGCAGTCACTGTGTTAGTCGGTGTGAAGTACTGGATATATGTGTGGCAGTCACTGTGTTAGTCGGTGTGAAGTACTGGGTATATGGCAGTCACTGTGTTAGTCGGTGTGAAGTACTCGGTATATATGTGGCAGTCACTGTGTTAGTCGGTGGGAAGTACTGGATATATGTATGGCAGTCACTGTGTTAGTCGGCGTGAAGTACTGGGTATATGGCAGTCACTGTGTTAGTCGGTGTGAAGTACTGGGTATATATGTGGCAGTCACTGTGTAAGTTGGTGTGAAGTATTGGGTATATATGTGGCAGTCACTGTGTTAGTTGGCGTGAAGTACTGGGTATATGGCAGTCACTGTGTTAGTCGGTGTGAAGTACTCGGTATATATGTGGCAGTCACTGTGTTAGTCGGTGGGAAGTACTGGATATATGTATGGCAGTCACTGTGTTAGTCGGTGTGAAGTACTGGGTATATGGCAGTTACTGTGTTAGTCGGTGTGAAGTACTGGGTATATATGTGGCAGTCACTTTGTAAGTCGGTGTGAAGTACTGGGTATGTGGCAGTCACTGTGTTAGTTGGCGTGAAGTACTGGGTATATGGCAGTCACTGTGTTAGTCGGTGTGAAGTACTCGGTATATATGTGGCAGTCACTGTGTTAGTCGGTGTGAAGTACTGGGTATATATGTGGCAGTCACTGTGTTAGTCGGTGGGAAGTACTGGGTTTATATGTGGCAGTCACTGTGTTAGTAGGTGTAAAGTACTGGGTATATATGTGGCAGTCACTGTGTCATGGGCTGTCTAGCACACAAAGTAACCATCTCTCTCCCCCTCTGTTAGTCAATGTGTAATAAGTAGTGTGTAACACAGTCAAGGCTCATGGCACAGGTTGGCATATGTCGCGCAGGGGCACCTTAAGTTAGGTAGCATGTGGCTCTGGGTAGAGTATATCAGGAAACAAAAGGCAGCCAATATCAGTGACTCGTGGCAGTTGATGTCAGGCATTTCGTGGCACGGTGTAGACAATGCTAGGTAATACATGGCAACTATTTTTGGGCAAAAGGTAGTACAAGGTAACTTTTATCAACAGACAGACTCCTGTACTGGGAGCCAATATCAGGAAATTTACAAAAATAAGGAAACACTCACAGTGAAGCCTTTCTGAGTGCTCTAAGTATACTTCCCTCACAGACACAACAATAGAAAGGTTTGTTTAAGGGCAGGTTTATTTAAGAAGAAGTATCACGTTTCTGCTCACATGATAACGGGTCCAACGTGAGCCCAAACATTGTTACTATTCTTCTCCAATTAATCTGCCTTGGACTATACTCCTGACTTTGTGCTTTCTGTAATGGCAGGAAACTTGTGAGATGGCACATGGCGCAAGCAAGCATTGTCAGGCATAGCGTGGCACAGGACCTTACTGGAAGGCCGATTGTGGGATAAGGCAGTGTGTGGCACTCATGGCACATTGTGCCATGTGCTGCCTGACATGTTTAAGTATTATGAATACTATGCCATTCAACACTGTGCACACTGTCAGCCAGCACATGGCATTGGGCACACTATGTCAGCCAGCACGTGGCATTGGGTATACTATGCCAGCCAGCACATGGCATTGGGCACACTATATCAGCCAGCACGTGGCATTAGGCACACAACGTCAGCCAGCACATGGCATTGGGCACACTATGTCAGCCAGCACATGGTATTGGGCACACTGTCAGCCAGCACGTGGCATGGGGTACACTATGTCAGCCAGCACATGGCATTGGGCACATTATATGGGCACACTATGTCAGCCAGCACATGGCATTGGGCACACTACATCAGCCAGCACATGGCATTGGGCACACTAGGTCAGCCAGCACGAGGCATTGGGCACACTACGTCAGCCAGCACATGGCATTTGGCACACTATGTCAGCCAGCACGTAGCATTGGGCACACTACGTCAGCCAGCACATTGCACTGGGCACAATATGTCAACCAACACATGGTATTAGGCACACTGTGTTGGTAGCACATGGTATTGGGCATACTGTGTTGGCAGCACATGGTATTGGGCACACTATGTCAACCAGCACATGGTATTGGGCACACTATGTCAACCAGCACGTGGCATTGGGCACACTATGTCAGCCTGCACTTGGTACTGGGCATGCTATATCAGACAGCACATGGTATTGGGCACACCATGTTGGCAGCACATGGCATTGGGCACACTATGTCACCAGCACATGGCATTGGGCACACTACGTCAGCCAGCACATGGTGTTGAGCACACTATGTCAGCCAGCACACGGTACTGGTCACACTAGGTCAGCCAACACATGGTATAGGGCACACTATATCAGGCAGCACGTGGCATTGAGCACACGATGTTGGTAGCACATGGTATTGGGCACACTGTCAGCCAGTACATGGTATTGGGCACACTATGATGGCAGCACATGGTACTGGGCACACTATGTCAGTCAGCATATGGCATTGGGCACACCATGTCATGCAGCACATGGTATTGGGCACACTACGTCAGCCAGCACATGGCATTGGGCACTCCAGGTGAGTCAGCACATGGTATTGGACACACTATGTCAGCCAGCACGCGGCATTGGGCGCACTATGTTGGTAGCACATGGTACTGGGCACACTATGTAAGTCAGCACATGGCATTAAGCACACTACATTGGCAGCACATGGCACTGGGCACACTATGTTGGTAGCACATGGTACTGGACACACTATGTCAGTCAGCACATGGCATTGGACTCACTATGTCAGCCAGCACGTGGTATTGGGCACACTATGTCAGCCAGCACATAGTATTGGGCACACTATGTCAGCCAGCACGTGGTATTGGGCACACTGTCAGTCAGCACATGGCACTGGGCACACTATGTCAGGCAGCCCATGGTATTGGGCACACCATGTCAGTCAGCACATGGCATTGGGCAGACTATGTTGGCAGCACATGGAATTGGGCACAGTATGTTGGCAGAACATGACATTTGGAGGACTATGTTGGTGGCACATGGTCCTTGGCAGGCTCTGTCACTCAGCAAATTGTACTGGGCATCCTATGTCAACCATCGCATGGCACTGGGCACCCTGTGTAACTCAGCACCTAGCATGGAGCACTGTCAGCAGATTACATGAAGCGTGGCAAGTTATCTGTGTTTGTGAATGGCATGGACAGACAGTGTTGGTCAGCACATGGTACAGAGCACAGGGTGTGGCAAAGGGCAGGCTATTCCAGACAATGCGTGGTATATGGCAGCTGATCTCAAGTAGTCAGTGGAGCAGGGTACGCCATGTGAGGCAGTGAGTGGCATAAGGCAGACTATGTAAGGCAGCCAGCGGCACAGTGTATGCAGTGACACAGTGTATGCAGTGACACAGTGCATGCTTCATTAAATACCGAATAATATAAAGCAGGCTATTTGGGCAGCACACGGGACACTGTACACGGTATGCTGTGTAAGGTTACAGAGGGGTGTAAGGTAGGTTATGTTATGTAGAAAACAGCACAGGATATGTCCAGGCAAGCTAAGGCAGACAGTGGGTGGTACGTGGCAGCCATGTTAGTGGCTCCAAATGTGCAATCACAGGTGGCATGGGGCAGGTTATATCACTGGCTCCAGAGACGTTATGGCAGGACAGAGAGGCATATGGCAGGTTTTATCAGTGGCTCGATGCAAGCTGTGGCACAGGGCAAGTAACACTGCGTGTGGCTACAGTGTGCAGTTTGTGCAATGTATCTCATTAAACAGAATATAACTTATATCCCAGTAACATCATTATAGCCAGTTAGCCTCCACATTATCTGCTTAAATAGTAAATCTACTTTGCTTGGTGTTTAATCTGTTGACCTTTTTCAGAAGTAGACTCTGTAAGGGTATGGTAGATCCTGTGACCCTGAGAGCTGTCCTTCAGCACTTGAAACAACCATGAGCCATACCTTTCACTAAGGACCCAGTTCTTATTTACTGAAGAAAATGGAAACTGCTATCTATAGAATTATCATATTATCCAACAGTAGAAATGTCTGGGGAATGGGTTATAAATCCCAGTAAACCAACTCTGCCATTGTAGCTTGACCGTGAATGACACGAGACCAACATGGCCAACGAAATACAAAACGCCAAGTATAGGATGTCCTGTGCTGTATTAATATCTCCAGAAAAAACAGACCAGGGGGCATCAACCCACCATATTGGCAAGCCTGTCCTATCGATAGTTCTGGTTCTGTATAAACAATGTACTAGTAGGACACACACGCTACCCAGATCCCCCAAACAGGCGTGCTCACACGCGTGCTCACGCACACGCCCAAAACCTGCCATGTCTCCTCTATTGTTCTCAAGAACCTTCTCTCCTCCTCCTCCTCCCCTCCCTTCCCCCCATGCGCCTGTGGGTACCAGCTGCAATGGGGCTGGGTACTGTGAGATCAGCTCGTGTCATTAGGGTCTTTCTATTCATGCATCTATGCATTATCCACGTATAGATATATAGACAGATATAGGCACATATGGCTGCATAGCTAGAACATATAGTATCGATAAGGGTTTCTGTACAGGGCCATATAAATATATCTATATATAAATATATCTTTCTATCATCTACCTACCTACCTACCTATCTATCTATCTAACTATCTAATTAAGGCTAAACATATCTTCTAGTGTGTGTATATATATATATATATATATATATATATATATATAAATACACATACATGTATACAAATTAGCTATATGTACAAACCAGCAGCATATTTCTACATATACAAAAACATAAATACATTGTAACCTACCTATTTTCTAGCTATATGAGTAAATCTGTCACTCCTATATTACATGGCAGTACCATAGCGCCCCAAGGACATATTGTGCATGGTTTTAGCTCATGCCCCCCCCCCCCCTCCATCCTTTTCTTGCTCTCTCCCTCCCCCTCTTCTGTCCTTTCGTTTGCTGCATTGTAAGACGCATTCGAGTCCCAAATGGGACTCCCCTGGGATATCTCTCTGCTTCCCTCCACCCTTCCATCAACTTTTCCACCTCCTCCTCCTCTAATGCCACACAGAAAATAACCCTGTAACCTCCTTCTTAACCCTTTCTACACAAGAAGCACAATAGGATCAATCGGATGGTATGAAAAAAAAGATGGCGGCACTTACAGTCACCATGCTTAGGGAACGTAGGTTGGACCCTGTAGATTTTCGGTTGCGTCTCTCTTGCCTCCGTGTCCCTTTCTTCACTGCTCTGGCGTCCGAGGTGCGCCTGCCCACCCCGCCGCTCCCCTGCCCCCTCCCGGCGGCCGTCACGGGATCGATTCAAGAAACCGAATTGTAAAAAAAATGTAGAAAAATAAGTCTGTATCAAAATATCCCCTCAGATTGAAAAACAGGGAAAAATGATAAGCACAGGCAAGGATGGAGAGGTAGTGATTGTGGTACAGTGGGAGGGGGTCTTTGTCTGGAAAGAAGAGGAAGGGGGGTTTCTAGATTTTGGAAAGAGGGAGTGAGAGAAAGGGAGAAGGGAGGGGTCCAAATTGTTTCCCGGTGTCTTTATCCCAAAAGTGGTGTCACCTCGCTCTCTGCATCTGATCGGTCCAGTCCCCCCTCTCCTGTCTTATATACGGTTCTCTTCATGGTGCAGCTCATTCTGCTATTGGCTGAAGATGAAGGGGGTGAAAGGAGAAACAGAGGGGGGTTGGAGGATGTAAATCTCTCCCTCCTCTTTTCTTGTGATATTTTTTTTCCTTTCTTTGCCTCAGGCCCCCTGAGAAGAGGGACACAGAGGACTGGCCTGTCACACCTGCCAAATAACTCTTTATTCCTCTACACATCTTGCTCTGCCTCCATCCATCGCCTTCTAATCCTTTCTCTCCTTGTACTCACTCTCTGTATCTTTCTCCCGTTCCAATTGATAATCCCTAGTATCCTTTTTTTATCCAATTTGTCTGCCCTTGTCCTAGTCTCTCCCCCAGTTATCATCCTAATCATTTATAGTCTGGCACAATTTATGTTGTCTGTGTTTCGTTCTCATTCCCTGCATGATTCTTCCCCTCTGTCATTCTTTCCAAAGTATCGTTCTCTCTCCATCACCACCCCACACATTGCTCTTCCTTTCTTCCCATAACTGACTCTAACATTCCACCATTCCATTCAATCCATCCCTTACGTTCCATTCCTCTTACACCTCTATCTCTGAGCTGATCCTATCTCAGTCTGTCTCACATCAACGTGTGATCAAGTGGGTGGAGAGGGGGTTAAATTGTGCTTTGTTGAATGCAGAAAGAGCTTTGGTCCCATGTGTACCACTGTTACACGATCACAGTACCACTGCTTTTACACTGAGTGTGCATTTAAACTGACATGAGCTTAGATAGGACTGCAACATGTTTCCAAGCAATGCTTTGCTCACCTAGCTGGCATTTAAATTGTTAAATTGGTATAGGGGAAAGGAGCAGAAATTCCCCCCATCACACACACGCTCCCTGCAGAGGGTCCTGTATTGTGCTACAGACAATAGGAGGAAAAAGGCAATGAAGTGGTGGGGGTCTTGGACCATTCACGTGCCAGCTGTATCACTCCTAGATTGCATTGCTGGCCCAGCAGCACCTGCCACTCCCTCTTCTATTTAAATATACCTCTGCCATTCAGTCTTCAATTCAGGAGTCTTTTTGAAAAATGCGAGAAATTTACTAAAGCCTAAACAGGGGCGAGACTTGGGGGTTTATTCACTAAACACAGAATTGTAGCACACTGAAAGCCACGTGGAAAATTTTAGGGTACAATAGTTGATCAGGAAAATTTCTTTCTCCAACTCAGTTATGGTCAGAGCTGTTGGCTGTTTTTTGAAATTCAGATTTGAATTCGCCCCTTACTGATTACTTGACACAATCTCTGCAGCAGCTAAACTGATTATTGAATCACAATCACAAATTTATATAATACAATGTAAATGGGCACTTGTTTTATTGGTACTTTAGCAGACAATTACATACATTTTATACAATGTACTAGTCAAATGACTAGCAAATGTATTGGTATAATTTTACAAATAATAATAATGTCACTATTAAAGATTTATGTTCATACCACTATGCCATTATTTCCACTTACTGAGTTAAATGAGAGTTAAAACGCAGAACTTGAAATGTGTTAAAATGAATCCAAATAAATTAATAAAAAGTTTATGGCCGAATGAAACGAGAATGTCCCCCAAAATTATATTAAATAGAATTCAGTGCTGCCTGAAGATCTTATTAACAAGTCCCCCTAATCCTCAACACTATGGGCGACAGTAAGAGGGTCAATAAAAACTACCTACGTCACACTGTTAAATTCTGGAGTCATTTGGAAATTACCTGTGACTTCATCCAGTTTCTAATCTTCTTGACACCCCCTCTCGGCTGTTTCACAGGGCATTTGGGACCATTTACGATGGACTCAATACAGAGCTTATTGGGCTCAACTGGCAGGATGTTCAGCGAAATTTATAGGATTGAGAATTTTAAAAAAACTAGCCTCCAATGTTGGCCCTGATAGTAGCACATTTTAATTTTTTTTCTCACAACTTTACTTTGAGAAAAAAAAATGAATCCCTCCATATGTGCTCATGGCAAGACACAGTAAATGTTAACACAAATGTTGCAAGTGTTATGAACATATGATGGTATTTTTAAGCAAATATCATCAGTATATATTAGATTAGCTAAATGGATAAATTGATAGATAATATTCTTCTTTTTAAGCTTTGTACTGCAATGCCCTAACAACTAATATAAAACCAGTAAAGGTCATGGTGGCAATCAGCTGGCACACTAAGCAGTTGTATGAGGCCATTAATCCGCAGTCAATCCGCCAATTGGAACGCAAACGTGTAATTTTATCAATACATGTCTAGCTGTACGATCAGAATTGTCAGTAGGCAGATTAAGCAGCTGCCCACAGGCGTCTTTCTGATAAGGGCATCTAATTGGGCACCACAAATTCAGTTTACCATTTTTAACCACTGGGAGTTGTTTAAATGCAACTGGAATGGTAACGCAGGGCGAGGTGCAGGTTTAGTAAGCAATGTGATGTATTTTGAAGCTCTTAATATTTATCAAAGTGTTCTGAAAACGTGACGGTTACGTTCTGCCAGTATTATGACTTTATTTAGAAAAGTGACGGTTTTCTTTACAGTAAATATCTTCAAAAATGACAGTTAGGGCACACAAAAAAAGAGCAGATGAAAAAAAGTCTGACAGCTTTACTATATTGTGCCAAAAAGCACAACGAGACGTTGGTAACTCTCCTCCACTGTGGTAGCTGGCTGAGTTATAAAAAGTTACGGCTTCCATAAGTGTCATATATTTAGTATTTAATATTTTATTCCTGGGATAAGTGGGGCTTGTTAGTTGGAGGTGTAACCCAACTCTAAATGAGAGTTTAATTGTGATTGTCTTTTTTTTTTTTTTTTATCTTAACGAATATTTGTAGAACTTTGAATAGACTGTATTATAGAGGGTGGATCTATGCCTATGGGTACCTGAGATATTAGTTATTGTTAGAATATTTTGACACATGCCAAGGCATTTAGTAAAAAAAGGTAAAGTATCGTTTACTGTATTCTGTAATTCTCAATATTGTATGTGTTTATTTAATAGTTGAGAAAATTCAGGTTTTACAGACTAGGTAGTAGATACCTGACATTACCTTCCTGTGGAAGCAGTAAAGGGCAATCAATTAAAACCTATGAGGAATGCTTTGTAACTACACAAGAGGTGAGTAGCCAACATGCACTATTGTTATACTCATTATTCTGTGAATAGTCTTCAATCCAGTAACAACAAGAATTCGAAGGAAAAAGTACAGCACACTGTGTTGGTAAAAATTAACTTTACATTTGTATGTGCATGTTTTTCACTCCTGTGGTGTACGGGACCCTTTCTTGGAATTCTTATTTACCCGGGCATAGAGCCATCCTGGAGGACAATCAATCAAAACCAGGATTCATAATGGGCAGCTAGGCAAATTAGCTAGGCAATTTGTCTCTATATCATGGTTTCTGTGCACTATAGGGCCCCAAATATATTCCTTCTTTTAAATTCTTACCAGTGACTCAGGAGTTAATGCCGAATTATAAAACTGGCCGCATCAAAATAGTCCAGTCAACAGTTTTACTCTACTATAGTGAATTAAAGTGAATCCATCACTCCAAATTGTGTGAAACCAAGTATATTTTTAGATTGACATTGATCGTATGTTGTGCTGAGATATTATTGACAAATGTATTGATCAAAAGAGATACCTACCTGAAGATCTCTTCCTACTTCTTCATGACGTCCACCAGGAATGTCCCCAGCTGATGTCCATGGTATGTTATAACCATCATGTGCATGCAGGTGATGCCGCTGCACACGTAACCCCCACCGGACTCTGTATTATATAGGTTTACCTAAATGTTAAGATAGTTTAAAAAAATGGATTTACTTGTGCACTATACATTAACCAGAAATGTGGCTATTCTAATTATAAATGAAATGATATTCCTTACAAAGTGACCCCAATTGAATAACATGGAAGTGTGAATTTTCGAGAATACAACGTTCCTTCACTTGAAATTCCTAACAATCTGGAACTCTCAGGAGCAAGGGAAGATATACAAGTAGAGATTTCTATAAAAATGACTCCATAAATATTGGTATGACCTGTGAAACTTCTATGGACTTTGTTTGTTGGAGAGTGGTTTGTTAAGCTCTGCCTCACAATAATGTAAGTTTACTTTGTTTGCCCCCCTACCATCCCTGCTGGAAGCAGGTTTCTAGTATACATCAAAAATATTTAAACTATCTGTCAGCCTTCAGAGTGGAGTGTATACACCAATTTCCTGACCATGCGCCTCTCACACTATTCTTCTCTTCTGACAGTAAGCTTCGTCGTGTTTCTCACCTATTACTCTTTACATGGAACTACACCCATACAGATTCAATCTCCGCATGGACACGCGGCCCACCTAGGAATGCACACTACACAGCTCACCTGGACACTATTCTATCTATCTCCACCTTGTCTTCACCAAAGACTTTCTTGAGCATGGGTCTCTCCAATCTCCTTATCAATCAATCAGTCGATCAGATGATCAATTCTATTTGCTCTTTATACTTGGTTAATATATACGCATTTTTTTTTTGCTTCCTACCTAATGTCCTATAAGATCATAGCGATGGAATACTCATTGGCACAGTTGTGTGTGCATGAATATTTTATTATTGGTATTTTTTTTCCTGCAGCCTATTGTCGCAATGCACTATTCCTCTAGATATGGGGCCCCCGAAAGGTAGATCCCCAGGTGTTTTAAAACTACGGCTTACGTCATGCTTTGTCATTCTAAACGCCCGTAAAGGCATGCAAAACATTATGGGAGTTGTAGTTCTACCACATCTGGACTTCTACTTTTTGGACCCCCCTGCTCGAGATTGTAAGCTCATGGGCTGTCTTCCTCAACACAGTGTTGGAGGTGTTGCAGGGATTGGACTGAAGCCCGTCACGGGGAGAGTTCTCTTCTCGTATAGTTTCAGTGGGTTTAATTACCGTATATATCCCTCTGTCTGTATACCCACCTATGTCT